ATCTTGGGCTGCCTGGGGCAAAGTAACTAACCCCTCTCCCACCCAGATTTAAATAAACTTAGAAAAATCAACTACCGGATTGTTTGATTTGATTTGATATTTATATCGCACTGGTATCCATGCCACTTTAGCATGCTCGCTGCGCTCTGGTCATCCGAAATCTATTGAAACAAAAAAGTTTAAAATTTGTTCTTAAATGATTATTTGATCATTTACAATTCCCCTCAAAGATTGAGGCAAACTGTTCCATAATTTTGGCGCCATCGCTTCAAAAGAGCGCACTCCGTAAGACTTTTTTCTGTGTTCATCCACACTAGGAACACTCAGTAAGGACTGCGTTGAACACTGCAGTCTCTTCAGAAGTACATGTTTATAAATAAGTTCCTTGAGATATTCCGGTGCTGAGCCATCTATGCAGCTGTACGCCAGGGACAAAATTTTGTAGTTAATGTAGTCCCTTCCATACCCAAACTAAAATAATTTGCACTTCATATGGTTCGTTCTTTTTTTGTTGTTTTGTTTTAGTTATAAGTTGATTAGTCAATGCTATTTGGCTATGGAGTTGCGCTGCACTGATTGACTTAAACCGCATTTTATTTTTATAATTATATTTAAAGGTTAGATTTTATTACGTTATGATTTTAATAAATGTATATTTTTGGAATAAAAAAAGGCACAACTTTTTAATGTTAATATACACAGCAGAAATGTGTGTGTGTGTTTTTTTATTAACAATTTAAAAAGCAATCAATTGTATTTATTAATTTTACTTTTAAAAAGAGAAAATACATTATCAGTTTTGTCAATCACGGTTATTAAATTTAAAGAAACCTAAGAGTTTTGAAGAAATAAGCTGTTCGCGCTATGACGTCATTTGCGTGATTATTTAGAACAAATTAATTTAAAATTTTATTTCGCAATGTTGACAACGCACTAAAGACGCACTAAAAACGAATGATGTTTTGGTTTTCCCGATTAATGTGATTACGGTGTAATTCTTTGATCATGATTTTTAATTATTTTTTTTTCATAACTTTTAGACATATATAAAATGCTTCAAATAGTTCCTTAGTGGATACTTTAAATGTATTTGTAATTTATAATAATAATACTTAAAAGTTTACTAAAATACAAGTGGATTTTAAACATTTTTTTGCGCATTTAAATTTATTCGATTTCCGTAAAATAATAGAAAATAACTATGATTGTTTTTAGTAATCCGAATGTACTTAAATAGTATCTTCCTTTTGGCATTATGTGACTCTGGCTCATTCTTATATATATACAGGGTGGGCCAATAAAAGTGAGAATATGTCATAGCATATGAGTTACTTCAAAATATAATTTAATTAATTATAATTCTTCATGGAATTTTTTTGGCAAAATATTTAGCTAATCAGAAATCATGTTCAATGTGTCCTCCTTGCTTCTCAACGACTTTAAGCTAGTATGGGTATTGTTAAACTAAATTTGATGTGATTAAATCACATTTTAAGATGTTCTCACTTTTATTGGCCCACCCTGTATATATGCGCACAGGAAAAATAGCTTAAACGCCCATCGAAGCCATTTAATTTGAAAATAGCACGTTTTACTCTCCACCCTTTACAATTTCAGATTTTTAAAAGTACAGATTTTTGTTTTAGTTTATTATGAATTAACTTTGCATGAACCATGAAATATTGGGTTTAATATCCATTGTTTAATTTTCTAATGATTAATCGAACCATTAACCAATAAACAAACAAACAAACATCCACATTGAACTTTATATAGTGCACATTGCATCCATCCTTTCAAAAGCGTTTTTTAAACGATTGAAGCTTGGTGCAACATCAACATTTTGCAATCCACCCTTTACCACACCCATATTCATTCAACTTTGGATCAACATTAATAAAAGAGCCTTTGCTCTTGGCTATAACAACATAATTACGTATAAAACACTTTTTGTATGAGTTTTGCAACCTATGGGTTGGTCTTCTGGAATGTACTGGGCGGAGCGCTCAGAATCTGGCTTAAGGAAACTGATCCTCAATACAGCTGCTACAGTAACTAAGCTATAGGTGATTGATGATACAAGAAAACGGAAGGGAGCAACTTTACCAATATTATCGAGCTGACAGATCCCTTTCCAACGACAACGAATTCAGATCGAGCCATTGAAGGAGATCGAAGCTTCGCAATGAAATATCTATTGTGGGTGACCTAACTGTCTTCATTATAGTCGGCGCAAGCATTTATGGCTGTAGTCAGCGTATGGATTAGGATTCAATTCAAACAAAATCATACAATGAGTTATAAACACAAATCATATATTAATATACTACATCCAGACAACTGTTGGATAAGAAATATCCAGTGGCTAGTTTACCATCCTTAAGATTGGGATGAAGGCTAGATAAGTATATCTCTATATGGCCAACATGTATCCCCGTTTGGAAACACATGTTGAACAATGAGAAAATATCAGTTAAAATTCAGTAACCAACTCATTCTAATCAGAAAGATCATTACATTAATGTTTAAGCAACTTATTTACATGATTATACAATCCATTTAAATAAAATAAATGAAATAGAAATACTCATCAAACTCACTAGGTGTTAGAAATGGCCGGTTTCAAACTGTACTCAGTTGACCTGTGATAATGTTGTGTGACGATCTTAGAAGAACGTTCATAACATGCAACACGGTATACATTATATGTATATATAGTTTACTATATGGCCCTTGGCTAAATCATTATCATGTGCTATCTGAGAGCTTAATAACTGGGTACTTGATTAAATTTCAACATCAGCTCACCCCTGGCAAAACGGTGGTTGGGGGCTTGGGGGAGGGGGGGTGGTCTACAGCGTTGCTCAATCCGATGGTCAAAATATCAGTAAGTTGAGTGAGCGATTCACGGGAAATAACAACACTCAACGGTTAATATATCGGCCTGAAATTAAAGAAGTGGTTTTGAGTACATTGAAATTTTAAGACTGGCTTGATTTCATCATAAGCAGACTAATCACAAATGCCTGAAAGACGCTTAGTTTTACACTATCAGTGATTTTAGGATTATCCCATACCAGCTGATTCCATTTAGCCATATTTGCTGCTGCTGTTCCGATCCCGATTTTGACCTCTTCGTCAAGGGAGAGTGAGTTAGATATACAGTTTGTGAAATTTTCCACTACTGACAAATTATGGCTCTCTGTCATGATGTTTGTAAGGGACTTTGCTTTTATGCAGCATGATATTTATTTTTCTTTTGACTTATGGCCGGTCTAAGCTCTTTACGTGCGTGGGAGGAGCGATTGGCTATAACCACGGCAGACTGTCTTCTGTGTGCGATGATAAAGCTGCATCATCAACGAACATCACCAAAATCAGCGAATTTTGTCACGTTTGGAGTCCTGGGATTGAATGATTGGGGTTCCTGCAAATGAAGAAACTGGTGTTTGAAATTGAGTTTGATCAAAATGTTTGACTGGACCTATTTGATTTGGCAAGCCCCCTTGGTATTGGTTGGTGTTCGATGAATAGCTCATCATTATAAATTTGTTGCATAGATACCCTGTTCTTTGCATAAAAATGGGCGATATTGAACAGCCTACCATCACGTAAGGTATGGTTGTACACTCCCTGAAGGCAAAATATTGAGAAGCATTGAGAAAAAAATGTGTCAGAGCATTGGTGCAAGAACGCAGCCTTGTTTCAACCAGCTGTTAACTGGGAATGCCCAAAACACTACGCCATTGACTGTGCATGTAAACTGTAAAGATTGTGAGCAGTCGTAGAGGACAGTTTATTTAAATTCGAGTTACCGAACAACCCACTCCGTCTGCAAGTTGAATGTGTTAGTCAGATACATAAAAGTAATTTAAAGTGGACTTTGATTTCATGACACTTCTCCTAAAATAGACGTAACGACAATATCATGTCTATAGGTGACTAAGCAGATCAGATGCCACAATGGGACTCTGGGTAGATGCGGTTAGCCAGTTAGCCAGACTCTGCAATCGCTTAAGGCCGACACTGACTCTCCAACTAATCCGGGGTGAGAAATACCTCGGTGATTATTACAATGGCCAAGATCACCGTTATCTTTGTACAATGTTACGATGTTGGCACCGCTCATGTCCTGGGGACTGTTACCTGCTTCCCAACACAGACAGAGAAGCTCATGTAGGACTAAAGTAATATTGGTTTTCCATTTATAAGGAATTCGGGAGGGAGGGGGGGGGAATGCTGTCAATCCATGGAGAATTTCTATTAACAAGATAATATAGTCCTTTTTCGAGCTCCAAAAAATTGTCTCTTTTTCTAGTTCTTTTTTCTCCATAATTGACAAGACAGGGATATTACCCAGTGCGGTATTAGAAGCTAAATTCTGTGATGCGTATAGTTCAACATAATGCTCATCCCAACACTGAAGTTGATCATTTTGATTCATAATAACTTGACCCGTTTTGGACTTAAAGGTACGAATTTTTTAAGTGTAGGGCCCTCTTGATGCCCTAGTAGAGGCCTCTTGCACCCCCATTGTCAAAGCAAATTAGATAGAATGGGAAATGTCTAAACAGTAAGTTAGTAATATGAGTTCTGCTAACAAGCTTGGCCAAAAGACTACACCAACTTAAAGGGTCACGGGCAACACTACCACTACGTTCGGTGTTTCTGCTGAAACCCCCCCCCCTGCCCCAATGCACTGCTGACCTATTAGTATAACAACTCTTTTATGGCGTCCCTAGGCTAATAGTTAAGCCGCGTTCAATCACATTAACAAATGAAAATCCCCTCACAGCAGACCCTTCAATGGATTCTGGTACCTTGAGATCATGTAAATTGATTGAAAGTTACGGTGGATCTCCCGTATTACCTTTTTGAGACCATGCAGTTCTGTCGTGGATATTTCTGGCAAGATTAATACACTTAATTTGATGACGCAATATTTTTGTGTATCATTTGAGATCATTCTCGACGTTGTAACTTCCTTCCCAGTTTGTATTTTTAATTTTAGAAGAGTGTTACAAGACATCAACTCAACATGGTGTACCTCTTTATTTATGTCTTGAGTGTAATCTTCTTAGCGAATGTCTGTAAGTAATCGTTACACAATGAACAAACTCTGCGTGCACTAGAACAGCTTGATAATATAATATGTGTATCTTTGGTAAATTTGTAGAGATAGCACCACGGTTTTTGTTTTTTTTTATAACCATGGCCGCCATCTTGGTTGTCGCGACCCGTGAACTTTTACGTTTTCACGTGTCGCGGCACCCAAGATGGCGGCCGTGGAAAAATAAAATAAATCACGTTAGCTAAAATTAGCAATAGAACGTAAAAAATGAATGAAAAAAATGTCCTAAGCCTAAATGTAACCCTAAACCTAACCTGAACCTAAACTTATCTCTAACCTTGGTTTTTTACTCTATCGGAACCAGGATTTTGACCCTATCGCAACCTGGGATTTGTTTGACCCTATAGGAACCAGCGTTTTGACTCTATCGGAACCAGGGTTTTGACCCTATCGGAACCAGGGTTTTGACCCTATCGGAACCAGGATTTTGACCCTTTCGAAAACCAGGGTTTTGACCTTGAAAAATTAGAAAAATAAACAAAACAATTAGAACGGCCAAAAACAGTTATAAAATAAATAAATAGTTAAAACCCAACTTACAGTTTAATGGAATAAGCTTTCACACTTTATTTCAGGTTCCACCGAAAATAATATCCAGAAATTGAATGAAACACCATGCGGTCATTTTCGAATATGGCAGAACACATAAACTATTATAATTAGCCAACCAATGAAATTTTAAAATTAAAATCAATCAACCACTAAAAATGTGCCATCGTTGTGTTAGTGAAAGTTTAACTCTTTTAAGAAAACAATAAGTAACTTAACAAAACAAGCAAATGACGTCAGGGTGATATCTCTCCAAATTAGCTATATCTTTTGATCGCGGAGTATTAGTATAAGTAGTCTATAAATTTGATAATTAAAATACATTTTAAAAATATACCATTTGATCACGAATAGATGGGTGCTGTCCATGGCTAGACGGGGGTAGATAGTACTTGGATGAGTGAGGTCAAGCTTTGCACCAACTGTTGTTTTTAGATGAATACGTCTCTGTAATAGCTAATTTTTATGTAAAGCGAATTGAGCCTAGCCCTAGGCTGGGATACTGCGCTATAAAAAAAAAATTTAATAATACTAATAATAATATATACTATAGATTAAGATGTCTATGTATAGAGATCATATTTACAGGTGGTGCCAGTGTTCAATCTTTTGGCCAAGCTTGTTAGCAGAACTCAGATTACTAACTTACTGTTTAGACATTTGCCATTCTATCAATTATTGTTATCATTATTTCTGTGATTTTTCCATTATCTAAATTTAAAGGAAAACCCTTTAAAACTTTCATAACAATTGTATACGTATTACATTCGTTCTTTACCGGATTAGTTTGCCATTGTTTTATATATTTAAGGCACTGTATTGGAGTAGGTTACATTACATTCTATAGCTCAGGCCGAAATTCTGTTTCAGTACTTTTTCTTTCGAAAAATTGACATTTAAAAAAAAATGTTCAACGGAACACTGTTAATAACACTGTTGAGAATTTTAAGCACTAATTTGCTGATTTCAGGTTCGTCTGTCAAAAAGCCTATATTATTTTTACATGTTTTAATTTTTTTTTTTTTTTTTTTTTTTTTTTATTTTTTTTTTTTTTTTTTTTTTTTTTTTTTTTTTGGGGGGGGGGGGTTTAATCACACCCTATCAGACACGCCTCCTGATAACCTTATCTCCTACTCTGGAAATAACATGGCGTCTATCATTATCTTGCTGTTTATCTTGATATACAGCATCGTGTCTGACGACGCATGCCGTATGTGTCCACCAGGGTTAAATATTTATTATAATATTTTAGGCTGTCCGTTACAGAAACACGTTTCTCCTATTTAATTTGTCCTCAGATGTTTGCATCTCAATGTTCACATGATATCTTTACACTCAAGAAATCGCCACTCTTCCAAAGTTGCACGTAGGTTCCTAAATTGATTGACAGTTCTTAAAATTTGACAAAATGACTTGCTATTGAAGGTCCTTCCGATGTCTAGGATGTCGATTAAAAAAAAAAAGAGACACAAATAAATTAAATGTTAGTGAACAAATATTTTGTTGGCTTGTAGAAAGCTTGGAAATGTCGACGATCTGTTCGTGTATTGCGTTTGATTGAGAAGTCAAACCTGGTAAGATCATTGAAATTTTCCCCCTTCCAGCAACTGAATTCAACCACGTGTTAGACAGGTCCACTGTGAGAGATGGAGATACGTTCCGGATCTATTGCGACTTGAATGTGGCATCTGGTGGCAAATTACGCGATGCGACAGTCCATCACTCTGCGCATATTTTGAAAGTATCTCCAGATAAAATGGATATTTTTTTCTGTAACGGTAACATCCTGGAACAGGTAAGGGCATGATTATTAATTAATGTTTGAAGAATCGTTCATTACTCGGATTTAAAATGACACCTTGTTAACTCGTCGTCCATTAGGTGACTACCTGTGAAAACTAGCAGAGTCCTTTGGGAAATTCCTTATAAATTAAATATTTCTTTTTAACTAGTCTTTGATATAAAGTTTTTGTTAAAGTTACACACACACACTCACACTCACACACACACACACACACATATATATATATATATATATATATATATATATATATATATATATGTGCACTAACGAGTACCCGGCATGCGCTGCAATGCAACTCAAAGATAGAAGTGTTGTGTTTGAATTGTTTTTTGAAAACTTTTAAATAGACAATATCTTTTGTTTTTCCGTTGGGTGCGTACACAAATAAATCAGAAGGTTTTCCGACGCGTGAGCAGGCCCTACACAGCTGACAAAGGGTTTTCCAAATTTAGTCCATACACGATTGTAGCGATTGTCCCTGTGCTTTGATGATGGTCATTGCAAAAGCGAGTCGCACCGTAAACTGCAGACGTATGAATTCAAATGGTATCAGTGGGTTGCGCGAAAACTGTACAGCTTCTCCTTTATATTGCTCATCATTTTGTTTTGACTGAAAGCTTTTCACTGTTGCAAACTCGTGGTGGATTTACATTTCGGAGAACAATGATAGGCGCGCCAATTTTCAGTGTTAAAATGTGCGACGGGATGCCTGGCAAATCAAGTGAATTCAAGAATACAGTTGGATAATTGATAAATTCGTCTTGATTTATAACAGTATCGACGGACTTTTCGCCTGGTATTTCACTTTGAATTCTGAGGTTGATTACACTGACATCGTAGTTTTGTGCTGCTAAAATAGCACGTGCACTGAGCAACTGATGATGGTGGTACCAATTCAGAACCTACTTACTTTTGTAACATACAAACTGAAATGTCGCTCTTTTGAATTTCACAAAGTCCAGCCTCACATCGTCACAAACTTTACCAGTGGGATCCCGATACCCGTGTGGAACCGATCTCGTTAGATAATAGTTTTCAGAAAGGATTCCGATCCGAGTAACATCCCGATCCCGTTGGTATCCCCTTTCCCGGTGGGCTCCTCTTCTCTGATATGAACCGATTTCCTGATAGGATCCAGATCCCGATTTAATCCAGTTACCGGCTAGGATCGCGTTACCGTTGGGTTCAATTTACTGCTGGATCTCGTTAACGTTTCTTAAAGCTTTTATAGCCCTTTATATATATCCCCGAATAACTATATAAAAATTTCTGGAACATTCTAGATATATTTTATAAACTCCTCAAAACCTGGGAACAATAACTTTCAAATTAATTATTTTTTGAACTCGAAAAATTATACAACTACATGCACTGCTTTAACTATAATACATTTAAGCAAAGAAAAAAGGGGTCCATGCCATAATTTGACCTCATCAGTTTTGCCTGAGACGGGAAGCTCCCTAAAAATTATTCAGATCAATTATGGAGTTAAAATGTAAAATTTGTTGGATTAATTCTGTTTAAAAATACCATCAATATGTGTTTTTAAAGTTATCGAGCTTTCTGCAAATTTCTAGACTTGATATTCTTAGTTTTAAATCAGCCAATATTTCATTACGGACAATGAAGTGTATTGCTACCACGCTAGGCCTTTATCCATCAATTCACATAGAAACTATGGTGTTTTCTAAGCTTATTAATATTTAAATCGCATAAAGGAAAAATGAAACGGGGCTCCCGGCCCCATGTGAATGAATATTATGAGTTCCGTACCTTTCGGTATTTGAATATGGATAATAAAGAATACGAAGGGTTCAAGGGAAAAACCAGTGATGTCAGTTTTTCAAAATTTCTATGTTATCTCCCTTTTGGATACATTCCATTAAATAGAATAATATGATACATAGGTCTAACTAAAAAAAGGAGCGTAGTCAATAAATAAATACGTAGACATCTTGATATTTTCATACTTTTATTAGGAATTTTCAAACTTTAAATTCAATTTTCTCAAAACTCTCAAAACCTGACATCACTGGTTTTTCCGTTGAGCCCTTCATATGTGTTTTAGGTTTGGTCAAGATCCATCCATTCATGTAGGAGAATTATACATATTGACCTATATAACTTTCTGGAACATTCTAGATTAAATGATAAATCCTCTTCGAAACGTGTAAAAAAAAATATTTTCTAAGTAATTATAATTTGAATACGAAAAATTATACAACTAAATGTATTACTTTAACTATAGTACATTTAAGTTGAAAGAGGGGCACTGGGGGGCCCATTCCATAATAGCACCGAACTAGTATTGCCTGAGATGGGGGCCCTATAAAAATCATTCAGATAAATTATGAAGTTAAAATTTAAATTTCTCCCATTCTAATCTTTTTAATAATGCAATAGATATAGCTTTGTAAAGTTATCGAACTTTCTGGAAAATTCTAGATTGGATATTCTTAATTTTAATAAGGGCGATGAAGTGTTTTGAAACCAAGCTTGGCCTATATTCATCAATTCGCATAGAATCTACAGTGTTCTCTAAGCCAATTAATATTTACATAGCTTAAATAAGGAACAATGAAATGGGCCCCGGGCCCCAGGAGAATGAATATCATGAGTTCAGTACCCTTCGGGATTTGAATATGGATAATCAAGTATATGTGTAGTAAGTTTGTTCAAGATACATTTATTCATGAAGAAGTATTAAGCCTATTGATATTTATATGGCTTATATAAGAAATAATTCAACTGGGCCCTCGGCCTCAAAGCAATGGATATTATGAGTCCAGTACCTTTCGATATTTCAATAAGGATAATAAAGTGTATGTGTACTAAATTTGGTCAAGATCCAACGACTCATGTAGGAATATTTGTTGTTAATTCTATTTATATAGCTCATATAAGGACAAAAACGAATTCGGGGCCCCCGGTTCCAAAAGGACAGTTATGAAAAGTTCATAACCCCTTAAGTGTTCCTTCCGGATAATGTTGGATATATATGCCAAGTTTTGTCAAGATCCATCAATCCTTGTAAAAGCCTTTGTGGAACAAACCCACAAACTTTATCTTTTATATATATACCTGGCGTTGCACGGGATTGCATTAGGACCCCATCCTTGTGTAATCCCGATCCCATTGGAAACCTAACCTCATTCTGACACCGATCCCTCCGTGGTCCCGTTTCCCGGGTTAATCCCGATTCCTTCGGATCCATTCAACGCTGGGATCCCAATACAGGTGGGATCCAGTTTTCTGGTTGGATCCTGATCCCTTTAGGATAAAGATTATGATGGGATCCATACCCCTTTGTGATCCCGTATAAAAAAAAATTACTCAGTGTTACTCCGGGACAGTATGGAAATGAATATAACTAACTACAATTTCGTTATCTCTTAGATCCCACTATATATCCCCATTGAACAATTTAGAACTTTCTGGAACATTCTAGATTAAATTTGATAACCTGCTCGAAACATTTTTAAAAATCATTTCTAATTATTTTTTGAATACGATAAAAAACTTTAAAAAATACCACAATTATAATCCTTTTACTTTTAAGTTAATCATGTTTAAGTTAATCATGGGAACCCGGTGGCCCATACCATAACTGTACTGATTTAGCTTTGCCTGAGATAGGGGCCCTATAAACATCAGACGGATAAATATTAGAATTTAAATTTGTCCCATTAAATTCTATTTAAAAATGCCATAGATAGAGCTTTTTAAAATTATCGAACTTTTTGGAAAATTCTAAATTGGACATTATTAGTTTTAAATCAACCGATATTTCAATACGGACAATTGCTACAACGCTAGGCCTATATCCATAAATTTACATAGAATCTATAGTGTTGTCTAAGCATTTTAAAAATAATCCCTCTTTCTGGAAAATTCTAGTTTCGATATTATTAGTTTTAAATCCACCGATATAACAATACAACCAATGAAGGGTATAGCTACAACGCTTGGCCTACATCCATCAATTCAAATAGAAACTATTGTGTTGTCTAAGCCTATTGATATTTATGGCTTATATAAGGAAAAATGAAACGCGGCCCCTGGCCCATATAAATGGATATTATGATTTCAATACTCGTCGGTATATGAAGATGGATAATAAAGTACCCTGCGACGTCACATCTAAATCTATCTGTCACGGGATGTTACTGAGCGCAGAAGGCGTCCTGGCTTCCCCAAGTCAAAGTCGAAGTTGAATGGGAAGTGATCAGAAATAAGTTTGTCCTCAATAATGAGGTTCATAGCTGCGCGGTCCTCTCTGACAACCAGCCAATCTAGGATGTGACCCCGCTTCTGATATATATGAGGCAATGTTAGTCTAGCTCTATACTTTCTCATGTATTTTCTATAAACATGCCCTGCATAATCATACCGGGAACAAAATCCCAACGAGGAACAGGATCCTAAAGGGGAACGCATAAACTGGAACCCAACGATAACATGATACCATCGAGTAATGGGGTTAAGGGCTCCACCAGAAAATGGGAACCCACCGGGATCGGGATTCTACCGGGATCGGGATGACATTGGGAAACGAAATCCCACCAGTATTGGGATTCCACCGGGATTGGGATCTTACCGGCATCTGGATCCCACAGGAAAAAAGGGATCACACCAGGATTATGATACAACGGAATCAGGATACCGACGGGATCGACATTACACAGGGGTCGGAATACCGAATGGATCGGAAACACACAGGTATCGGGATTCACCAGTAATGGGAGCCAAACGGGGACAGGATTCCTCTGGTTAACGGGATACCCTTAGAAAGCGGGATCTGATTGGAATCCCTCCGGGATCGAGCTCCCATCGGTGAACGATAGATTTGAACAAGTTACTTTAATTGTTTTTTATAGCAGACAAATTAATTATTTGATTTTTTTCCCTTGGCGCTTGACCTCAAAGTTAACTAAAGGGCTGTAGAGGTTGTTCATCCGAATGGAATCCCGTGCACCGCCGGGTTTAGTGACTTTATATAGATATAAGTGAATGTTTGCTTTGTGTGGTTGTGGATTTGTTCCACAATGGCTTTACATAGATTGATGAAACTTGACCAAACTTGGCACAAATATATCCATCACTATCCGGAAGGAACTCTTAGGGGTGTATCAAATGTTTAGTACATTCCATTTTGAGCCGGGCGATCCAAATTCTTTTCATTATAGGAGCTATATAAATAAAACTTGCAACAAATACTCCTACATAAATAGATGGATCGTAGCACACATAATCTTGATTATCCACATTTAAATACCGAAGGGTACTGAACGTATAATATCCATATCATCTGGGGCTGTGGGCCCCATCAAATATAGGCCAAGCGTGGAAGTGTCACAAATGGCTGGGGCAAGGGTTAACAACAGAGCTCCATTGTTCTTCAGAGACGTTATGGGGGTGGACGGAACTTGCGGTGATCTTGGGGAGGGAACTGTTAGGCGCATGGGCGTAAGGCTAATAGTGTCTCGTATCTGTGGGCCCCATCAAATATAGGCCAAGCGTGGAAGTGTCACAAATGGCTGGGGCAAGGGTTAACAACAGAGCTCCATTGTTCTTCAGAGACGTTATGGGGGTGGACGGAACTTGCGGTGAACTTGGGGAGGGAACTGTTAGGCGCATGGGGGTAAGGCTAATAGTGTCTCGTATCTTTTAGATTAGGGGGATGTTTCTTCCTAAATATTGTGTCTCGCGCCTTCCAGACTTCGCCTGATAATTTTGGTGTTAACGACAGAATTTCCTAATTGAACGGAAATTAGGGGGGTATGGATGGGTTAATAGATAGCATTCCTGGACCACCTGGGGGGTGGGGGGGGTGGAGAATTGTATATAAGATAGAACTCTTGGTGACATAACACAGAGGGAGAGATTCGTGGACGGTCGTTCAGTTGTGACAGACGTAGTGTTACTGGCTGTAGTCAGAGATAGAATTTGGGATAGTGTTAACAGTTAGAAAAGAGGCATTAAAATGATATTATAGTGATCAATACATCAATACATCTTTTCCTTATTACTGTTACCGAGGAGTTGCTTATTCATCCATTAGTGTTCTGTGGTTTTCCTCGTTGTTCTTCTCAACGCCTGGACTAGTGAACCATCACAGAGAGGAACCGTCCCATACTATTCACAACACCACCAATACCTCTTGTTACACGACTGTATGTACGGGCCGTACCTCATAATACCATTCTATCTGTGAGAGGTGGCAATACACTTCATCATCCGTATTGAAACATCGGCGGGTTGAAAACTAAGAATATCTAATCTAGAATTTTCCAGAAAGTTCGATAATTTTAAAAGCTATATTTATCGCATTTTTAAGTAGATTTTTTTAATGGGACAAATTTTAAATGTTTAACTGAATCATTTATCTGAATTATTTTTTATGGGGCCCTTATCTCTTACAAAATTGATTCGGTAAAAACATGGATTGGGCCCCAGCTGGTGTCTCCTTTTCAACTTAAATGTACTATAATTAGAGTCTTGCACTTGGTTGTATAATTTTTCGGATTCGAAAAATAATTAGTTAGAAAATTCATTTTCCACACGTTTCCAGGATTATATTAATTTCAAACTGGAATGTTCTAGAAAGTTTTAAATAGTTTATGAGGATATATAATGGAATCTAAAAGCTTATTGAAATATTAGTTTAGCTCCCTACTTTCCTGGGGATTTTCTCTAAACATCCCCCTTCATAATCCTACCGGGAACAAAATCCCAATGGGAACATTATCCCAAAGAGCAAGAGGATCCTAAAGGTGCAGTAAACTTAAACCTACCGGTAACACGATCCCATCAGCATGATCTATCAGCACACAAGATCCCCTCAGAGAAGAGGATCCCAGCTGGAAACGGGATCCTTACGGGATCGGGATCCCACCCGAAAAAGGAAAAGAAAAATTGTATCCTACATAGAAATATTTTCCATTCGGGATCTCAATGGGGTCGGGATCCCACAGGGGTCATGATCCCATTAGAATATGTGATCCCATTTGGAAACGGGATCCCTACGGGATTGGGATCCCACCTAAAAAAGGGAGCAAATAGAAAAGGGTATCCTATTTGGAAATGAGATCCAATCTGGATCTCAAATAAGTCGGGATTCTATTAGAATATGTGGAATCCAATGTGATCGGGATCCCAATGTGAGCGGGATCCAATTTATAAACTGGATCCCAATCGAGATCTAGATCCCAAAGGTGTCGGGTTCCCCCATTTGGAGAAGGGATCTTAATCGGGACTGGTATCCCTATTGGGTCGGGATCCCAATAGGGTCAAGGTCCCAAATGGCATATTGGATCCCATTCGGAAACGGGATCTGAATCAGGATCTGTATCCCAATGGGGTAGGGAACCCAACGGGATATTGGATCCCATTTTAAACGGGATCCCACGGGGTCGGTATCTCAATGGGAATGGGATCCGTATGGGATCGGGATACCACCCAGATGGAATACCGATAAGATCGGGATCCCATTAGAATGGGATACAGTGGGATCGGGATACCGACGGGATAGGGATACCAATGGAAACGGGAGACAGTCCCGGACAACGCCGGTTTATTGGTTAATATTATATATATACAGTGGAACCTCTCATAACGAGTAATTAACATAACGAGCAAAAAAATGTGAAGAAGTTGCTCCCTTAACGAGCGACATTTCGCATAACGAGTTACACAGAAAGGGGAAGTCCCTTTTTCGCGACATTCATTTGTGAGCCGGGACTTCCGCACTGATGCATTATTCCAGCGGTTCTCAATCTGTGGGTCGTGATCCCTTTGGGGGTAGCGCGGCCCTTTTCCAGGGCTCGCCTTAGACTATCTGAAAACACATATTCTTACAGCTATGAAGTAGCAACGAAAATAATTAGGTTGCTGGGGGGTCGCCAAGACATGAAAAACTGTATTAAAGCGTCGCGGCACTAGGAAGGTTGAGAACCATTGCATTAGTCTGTGTTTAGCACTCGGTCTGTTAGCGTATTGTTTTCGTGTGTGATCCCCAGTTTTTACAAATTTTGTATTCAGAGAGTATTCGTAATTTTTTTATGTGCAAAGTGTAATAACCTATGCTACAATGTCTTCGAAAAGAAATCCACAAGAAGACAATCATGACAGAGAAAAAATAACTTTTGAAATGAAACGTAAAATAATTGAAAGCGAGAACAAGGTGTGTGCGTGGCTATTCGTGCTACAAATTTATTCAATGACAATGCTGTGACACATTTTCGTCGAATTTTGAAGCGTCGGCAAAAACTGTCTTTAGACAGTGTTCTAGTTAAAAAGGATTAATTATTTGTCATAAATATCATATTTTTATTGACTTTTTTGTTTCCAATCTAAATTGTATTCCACGTTTAACACTCGTTAACAATTCATAAATAATTTTATCTGAATAAATGTTAATCAAATTTGTTTAAAAATTAGTATTTTTTCAGCATGGAACGCATTTTCGTATTTTACATTGATTTGAATGGGAAAAATTGTTTCGTTTAACGAGTTTTTCGCTTAACGAGTAAGATTCTGGAACGAATAAACTCGTTATGAGAGGTTCCACTGTATATAAATAGCCATACTAAGGCTTTTTTGGGGCTCTGGCATGGTGTATAGGTAGGGGCCCCGGTAGGGGTTTCAGGGGCGGATCTCCCCCAGAGCTGAGGAGAAGACACCACCCACCACTGCGGCTTCTCAAGTCTGCCTTCGTCACTGTTTCCTCTTTACTTGCGTGTAACTACCGATCGTATTGATAATTCCACCATTAGTGAAAATGTGGACTTCTGAAATATATGGACTTGCAAGTCGAAGGCTAAAAAAAAAAAAAGCTCATGACAGGGCACCCTTGGAAGTAGGCCTAGGCGGTCGGCTAGTTTACCTATGCCTAAGAATGGCTCTGACTTAACACCGACAAAGGAGGATGTTATGCCGTCTACAACTACTGCCTGGGATCGTTTGCTGTGGAAGCTAAAACTCCATGTTTTTTAGCGCATGTTTTTTCTATCATGTTGGTCTTCAGAAGGAACTTAAGTCTTAAATACTTTCTTACATCCCCAAAGACCGACTGGAACTGTTGATTTATTACAACTGCCTGTTCTTTTGCTTTAGATGTCAAATAGCCTTTCCATCTCAGGGGGAAAATCCCAGTGTTTGGTTACTTTTGGGGCTTGACTTAGCTTCAGAAGCGTTTGTTCTTTACACCCTTGGTCGAAGTATCTTCCTCTGAGAAGATGCCGTTCAGATAGTTCCAGCGACGCAGCAAGCGTTGGATAGTTCAGTGGAGCCTCAGTACTCCGCCTTTTAGTTAGACCGAGCAGTTAGACCGAGCTATTCTTCTTCATTCACGTGTACTGGCGGTCTCTCCTGTGTGCTAGAGACCAAGGAGCATTGCCGCTAGACTCACAAATAAAAACAAACCCTCATCAGAAGGCACAATTATGCATGGTGGTCTTTTGTATTTACCAGCATAGGATATCATTAAACCTAGTAGTAACTTGTTGATGGCTCCAATACACCACCCTATTCCTCACATCTGACCTATACACCCTATTATGCCTCCCCGACGCTCTCCCCATGGAGTACCAAGAGGACTACTACTCCCTCTATGATATACCTGTTCATAAACAGGCTCCTACCTCCTCCAACGCAAACCTGGTTGCCAACTGCACCAGTCAACGACAAAACCACCTTTCCCAAGCAATAAACATGAAACCCCTGCTCCATTGAGATATGGATGAAACTCTACAAACGCCAGCTTTACATAGTACTAGCTAGACCCACCCACAACCCCTCTATTACATTCCTGATCGTCATCTTGTGTGGAGATGTGTATATATACCCCGGCCCTAGACATTCAGCCTCCACACATCCTTGTGGACTGTGCCGAGAGGCAGGTAATTGGAACAGTAAAGGCATAGCGTGCGACAAATGTGGAATCTGGTTCCACCTGCTATGTGCCGACGATCAATCAGTGGACGACGGTGAAACGCGTCAACCCTCTTTTGCATGGTCTTGTCCACGCTGCAACAGTATCAACAACGACAGCTTCACATTTCACAGCTATCAACTGAACTGCTCAAACTCCTTCTCTCCTCTCTCATCACTCAATCCAAACACTGAATCTAAAGTAACACCTTACCCACTTTCACCGCATAGAATCAGTACCCCAAAATCCCACCATCCCAGCCAACCGCCCTACTCCATCGAAGGGCATCCCACAAGCTCCCAAGAACACAAACGAGACCCTTCAACCTCCTCCTCTATCCCTGACCACCCAAAAAATGCAAACCTCCGCCTACTAAATATCAACTGCCAAAGCATAGAATCAAAGAGACAAGAGCTCACAGCCATCATCCAATACACCAAGCCTGACATAATATGTGGAACAGAGTCTTGGCTCAGAGGCATAAAACTTGGGGAAGAACCAACCCTGGACCACATAAAGTCCTCAGAAGTCTTCCCGGTGGATAACAATTTGTATCGTCATGACCGCGCAAAAAAGAAAGACCTCTACATCAGTGCCTTCTATATGCCCGAAAGAACCCAGTGGGACCTTTGCGAATTCCAAAAATCCATCAATATTCTTATATACTGGACCACGCATACTGCCCACTCCACGGGCAAAGACAGCACTGTGTCAGCAATCACTGGTCGACTTGACTTACTCCAAAGCTCAAATAATGCGCCAGAAATCAAGGAAATCTTTCAAATTCGGTGAGGCAAACCAGGACAAGATCAATCTAGATCTTGCCGCCGCTGAACAGGTCATCCTAAAAAAATATAATGAGGGAGAGGATGTAGATACACTGTGGTCGACCTTAAAAAATACATTTTACAACAGCATAGATCAAAATTTCTCATCAGCTGCAGCAAAGAATCCATGTAACCTAACATGGCTAAACACACAGCTCAAGGAGCTGCTGAAGAGAAAGAAAAGAATATTGAAGAAAGTCCAAACTACAAACAACTGGACCCTGTACCGCCAGTTCCAGAAGCATTGTCGTAGGGAACTAAGAAGAGGAGCGTGGCAGTACATAAATGGAGTCATTCAAGAAGGCATCCAAAACAACAACACAAAACCCTTCTGGCGCTACATGAAATGCAGGAAGCAAGACAACATCGGCTTAGCCCCGCTCCTAGAAAACGGGCAACTTGTAAGCGATGGTCAATGCAAATCAGAAATTCTCCTAAGGCAGTTTCAATCCATCTTCACCAAAATTTCCACCACAGTCATACCATCCCTAAAACCATAACATGGTACAATACGCCCGATCAACATAACTGAAACAGGAGTAGCCAAACTTCTCAAAAACCTTGAAGCCCAATAAAGCTGACTGTATCCCGAACATTGTCCTGAAGACCCTGGCTGACAATATCGTTCCAACCATGACCCACATTTTCCAAAAGTCACTTGACTCCAGCAAACTCCCGCTATACTAGCTTGATGCAAATATCACTAGTGCCTACAAGAAAGGTGACCGTCATAACCTAGCAAACTACCGCCCATTATCCTTGACCTCCGTCCCATGCAAAATTCTAGAACACATCTTCTGTCGCCACATCATAAACCACATTGAACACTACAACATTTCGACCAACCTGAATCACGGTTTCTGCTCTGTATTCTCAACAGAAACTCAATTAATCATCACCACCAATGACCTCCTTGCCTCCTATGACAAAGGTACCCAGTTCGACATGGCAAGTCTCGACTTCTCCAAGGTCTTCGACACTGTTCCACACAGCCTTCTTCTACATTAGTTCCACCACTACGGCATTACCAGCAACCTTCACACCTGGCGTTCAACATTCCTAACACAAAAGACCATGCAAGTAGTGGTAGACGGCGTCCAATCAGGGAAAGCCACCGTAGATTCAGGAGTTCCACAAGGCACAGTGCTTGGTCCCCTTCTCTTTCTCTGTCACATAAACGACCTCCTTGATACTGTAAAATCTCAAGTGAGGCTGTTTGCAGACGACTGTCTTGTCTACTGAGAGGTAAAAGGCACCTCCAAGCAGATTTGAAGTGCCTTATGAATTTGGTGGACAAATAGGGCATGAAATTTAATGAAACCAAATGCTACACCATGAGCATCTCAAGAAAAAACCATCAACCCATAAGTAGTCACTAAACGAGATAGTTCTCCGACAAGTATCCAATAATCCATACCTTGGAATTCTCTTTTCAAATAACCTAAAATGGTCAAATAAACTGCCACAGATCAAATATTTAGATATTAATTTTGTTTCAGAATAATGTATTACTTGGTTAAGTAGAAGAAACACAAAGTTATGGGTTATGGGATACACAAGTGCAGGACACGGATGAATGGCAGTTTGAGTATATTTTCTTGATGAGCACTTGCTATGATCACTTTTGTATTCAACATCTTAATGTTGATTCAACAAATGTGAAGTGAAAGAAGTTATGACGATTTATATTTTCTCTGATTTATGGAGATATTAATTCATGTGGTTTACATTATTCAGTTAATAAATGTTGTGATGCTAAGTCCTCGGATTTTTGGACATCGAGCTTTGTTAGATAATCATGGACGTCTGTGAATCTGAATAAATAATATAAGTAATAACTACAAGTAACATCATCACCCTATGATTGTTACATAAACAAGATTTCAAAAAAGCCAACTCCACACTAGGTTTCATTCGAAGAAATCTGCGCCTCTGCCCAACTTCCTGCAAACGAAATGCCTATCTTGCACTCGTCCGTCCACTACTAGAATATGATGCGATCGTCTGGGTCCACACCTAAAGCAAAATGTGAACAAGATGGAGCGAATTCAACGTAACGCGGTACGCTTTATCGCACGTGACCACAAATCCACCACTTCCGGCTTCGTCACTGGCCTATTAAAAGGATTTGACATCCCTTGCCTTAAAGACAGACGAGGAAAGCTCCGCCTGATATTCTTATATAAAGTAGTCATGGGGCTGGTGCCGGCCATCCCAAAAGGCACGTACCTCACCCCACAGAAACCATGTCTATTGATCAGAGCCAAACGCTCACTGAACACTGATTTCAACACTGACAACCCCATAAACAATTACACCCAACACAATAGCAAATGCTTCACTGTGCCTTGGTGTAACACAGTGCAGTATAAACAATCATTCTTCCCACGCACAATAATTGCTTTGAACCACCTGGACAATGCCGCTGTGAACTCGACATCGGTCGAAAGCTTCAAGGCTGCCCTGGCATCTGCTAGGAGCTGTTAGAATAGCAACATCGCTTCCCCAAGTGATGCACAGATGCCAGTATATGGATGCAACAAAGAACACTACCAGAACCAGAACAGTTTATTTGCCAAAGCCGCTCCACAATGATATACAACGTATTATTATATGTGAACATAACTCCAGTCACTCTGGTGTGTAGCAGTCTGAGATCACACAATCAAGTATAGAGTTTTCCTAAGCTTAAAATAATGCAGTGGAGTTTCACCTAAGTCCGAAAATAAAGATTCAGCAGTGCAAGTTAGGATTGGGATGATCGACTTCCAGGTGGCACTTATTTTTCACTATATTTTTAGTGTTGCATTTTCGGCCCAGTGCAAAGAAATGAGAGGATTTTAGGGATTAAAAGACACGAGCTCCCCATGTATTTTCTATTAGTAAAAGACACCGAAGCTATAAAAAGTCCATGGCTAAATGCTACATAGCGCTATTTATTCTGACACATATATATAGAATTGTAAGTAGAGAGTATTGAAGTTAAACATAAATAAGTGTAGAAAGTATTACAGCTAAATAGGAACAGGAGAAGAGAGTTAAACAGAAACATGGGCACAGAGTATTGCAAGGGGGGCATAAAACCAATCCATCAGTTTTAACAAAGGCGGCTGTCATCAAAGGGTGACAAATCAGATTTGTCTTGCTTTTTTTTTCTTAGAGTAAAGCTTATTCAGTAATATTGCAGGAAGTTGGAACTAATTATTCACTTCAGCAATAAATACAACGACATTTGTCTTTCCAAATATAATGACTTGAACTTCTTTGGCCCTTTGACCTTAATCCTAATATAAATGTTTGAGTGGTTTAGCACCATAACTCGCTCGACACACTTGGACGGGTTATTTCCCATTTTGAGAAAGTTATGGATGGATCAATCTTGAAATTAGAGACCGACCGAATTTCGGCTTCGGTTTCGGCGCCGAAAGTGGCCATTTTATAACTTTCGGGCAAGTTATGGTTTCGGCCGAAACTTAAAGTTAACTTTCGGCTTAATTTCGGTTTCGGCCGAAAGAGAAAAGTTAACTTTCTGTTTTTTTCGGTTTCGGCCGAAATTGACTTAGACTTTCGGCCATCCGGCCGCAAATGACTGATGTTTTCGGTCATCTAATTCTCAGCAAAAGCGATATTTAACAACAAACTAAGCGACATTTAAGAACAAACTAAACGATCTTTAAGAACAAATTAAGCGATCCTTAAGAAGAAACTAAACGATCTTAAAAAAAAATAAAGTGATTTACAAAAACAAATAAAGCGATCTTTAAGAACAAATTAAGAGATCTTTGAGAACAAACTAAACGATATTTAACAACAAACTAAGCGATCTTTAAGAACAATCTAAGCAATCTTTAATAAAAAAACTAAACGTTCTTAAAGAACAAACTAAGCGATTTTTAAGAACGAAGTAAATAATCTTTAAGAACAAAACAAATGATCTTTAATAGTAAACTAAATAATTTATAAAAATAAACTAAGCGATCTATAACAGGAAACTAAATGTTCTTTAGGAACAAACCAAAAGATCTTTAAGAACAAACTAATCGATCTTAAGGAACAAAATCAATTATCTATAAGAACAAACTAAGCGATCTTTATGAAAAAACTAAGCGCCCTACGACAACAAAATAAGCAATCTTTAAGAACAAAATAAACGATTTTTAATAACAAACTAAAAGATCTATACAAACAAAATAAATAATCGTTAAGAACGAACTGAATGATCTTTAAGAACAACTAAGCGATATTTAAGAACAAAAACAATGATCTTTAAGAACAAACTAAGCGATCTTTATGAACAAACTAAACGATCTTTTAATAACACAAACTAAGCGATCTTTAATTTAAAAAAAAAACTTAGCGATATTTTTTGAACAAACTAAATGATCTTTTATAACAGACTAAACGATCTTTAAACAAAAGCTAAGCGATCTTTAAGAACAAACTAAGCGATCTTAAAAAACAAAATAAACGATTTTTAACAACAAACTAAGCGATCTTTTTGAACAAACTTACCGATCTTTAAGAACAAATAAAGCGATCATTAACAAAAACTGAACGATCTTTAACAACAAACTAAGCGATCTTTAAGAACAAACTAAACGATCTTTAACAACAAGATGTTATATTGGTTGTTTATTTATTAATATTCACGATTATCTCATTTTGTATAAAAAGAATGTAAATGTTTATACTTTCTCTCATCATTTTCGATGTATGCAGAATGTATGCGGGAACGAATTTCAAAATATCTAAATATTTTATTTTCGGTTTCGGCCGAAAGTCATTTTTAACTTTCGGCCTTTTTTCGGTTTCGGGCGAAAGTCATTTTAAACTTTCGGCCTATTTTCGGCTTCGGCCGAAATCAGAAAATCACTTTCGGTCGGTCTCTACTTGAAATTCCGATATGTCGGTCGGGTGGCGAACACAAAATAAAAACATTTTTAATGTCATAAATATGATTTTTGGGACAAATGACCCTTAAAATCTCCTTAAATACGCCAAAGGTAAAAGTGTATATTTTAGTTGCGTCAGGGTTTTCGTTGGTTTAGGTAAGGGAAAAGAGTGCAAAAAAAATCCCCCCCCCCTCCCTACCGGAAGCACTATCCTTATCTACGCATCTGTTCAGCATAAATTAATGTGATAGAACTGTGGGATAGGTTTCGCTGGTCCTTTTCATTAATGTATACGTGGCAATGCCTATATTGCTAAGACTCCAAAGAGCTGAACTGAGCTAAGACAAGTTTAGAGAAGGTAAGAGAAGCTAATACAAGTTTAAAGAAGCTGAGAGAGGCTCAAACTCATAAAAAAACATATACCCGTTAGACCATGCCTCAGCTGAGTTAGGTTAGTTAAGCTACAACATGCAATGAGTGAACGATTGCCGCATTGTTGGATCCATGGCTGGACTTATTTAGGATTGTTGCTCTGTACGAACAAGAAAAGTTGTTTTTTTATAATTGAAGTAAGGTTTGGTAGTGTACGTATTTTTAAGTAGCGTACTTGTCACAAGCAAGAAGACCGTGTTTTCCTTAAAATATGCTATCAAACCAAAAAAATGAAAAAAAGAACATCAACCTTAAAGCTGTTACAAAATTGCCGATTTAAGAATTTGAGAATATATAAAGCTAACCTAATGATCATACACATTTGCAACATTCGGATTTATGCTCACAATTTTTATAGAACATTGTGGAACTTTTAACAAATCGATGGATGATCAACATTTATGATTATTATTGACTATAGCAGAACGTTTTAGAAGACCTGCACTGAGTACAGTATTTATCGGCGTATAACATGCACAGGCGTATAACACGCACCACTCGCGCCGCTATGCGGTATGTACTATGGCGTATAACACGCACTTTTTCTCCCTGAAAATAGGGGCCAAATGATGTGTGCGTGTTATACGCCGATGTAATTTGAAGGAGCTGTAGTACATATTGCATAGCGGCGCGAGTGGTGCGTGTTATACGCCTGTGCGTGTTGTACGCCTGTGCGTGTTGTACGCCTGTGCGTGTTGTACGCCGATAAATACGGTATTTCTAAAAATAAATTAATTCCATAGTCATAGTCAATTTTATTTTATTTTTTAACCTTCTATTTTGTGTGTGCGCCTTTTTTGTAAGAAAGATCAAAGGCGTCATGCCTCCCGCTGTGTCTTAAAACAGATATTATTTTTACAAGTGTCTGCACAACACTCTTTTTAAGTGCAGAAAGAAAAATATTAAATATTATTTGATCAGTTAAAATGTTATATATTTTTTGTTTTAAAACACCCCCAGGATCACGCCTTAACTCTCTAGGTGTCGCCAGCGTTTTTGTGAATCATTTTTTCTACAAGTCTAGGTTACAAACGGTGAATGTGATCAGTTATTTTTAGTTTAAGAAGCATTATAAAAACACAGAAAATGTATCTATACATCTATTTGATATTATCATTACAGAGCAATTTTAGTAGGCCTTGGATTTTCAGAGGTATGGAAACTTGCGGCAGGTCTGCAGAGATCAGAATCTCAGTGGAAATAACTGACTCCAAATGCAACGATGCTGGTAAATACCAGTGTGTATACATTAGTTCTTCGGGAGATCAGTTTCTAGTTACTTCCGAGGCAATAGAAGAGATGAAAAGAGATGGTAAGAGATAGAATCGAAATTAAATTTTTTTTTGTGGAAATAAACACATGTAATTTATACCGAATCCATCCATCAATAGATCGTTTAAGATAATGCGACATGCATTTAGAGTAAATATAGTTGTTCTTGTCCAGTGGTTCTCCAAAGGGTAGGGGTGATGGTTTGGCTCAGGGGATCGATTTTTTTTTTTGGGGGTGGGGGGGGGTAGGCGGGCGCTAAAAGGCTGAACTTTTATACAGACGTTGGTAGCTAATAAAACTTAGTAGTATTAAAAAAGTCTTATCAAATGATCAAACATGTTTTTTGGTGAAGAACTGATCCCAATAGTAATAAGTGAGATTATTTTTTTTCATTTATACAATGCAAGGAATTGGGAAGGTCATTTTTGTAACATACTAAAAGTCGACAGTGTTGGCATTACAACTGGAAAAGCTGGTAGGTGGCACATGCCACGTAGTTCCGACAACTTTTAGTTGCGCACTTTGGATAGAAACTGTTGGAGATGGTCGTCCGCGGCGGCGGGAACATGTCAGGGAATTGGTCTTCGCTTGCCCTGCCTGGTCGGTTGTCCGGGTCAATTTGCACAAACGACCCCAATTTTGTTGGGGGGGGGGGTCGTGAGCCAGGCTACTCCGCGACCGCTGATTAGCAGCGGGGAGACCTTCGGCCTTAGTCCGGCTTTAACGGTTACGAGGACGCCGGACTGGGGCTGGGGACCGGTCAAGAGCTTCGTGCTCAGTACCGCCTCTGCAAATTGTTCGTCAGGTGCCTTATGGCGGGAGTCCTGGATGGACCCGAGGCACCGTGGTGCGGGTTCACGCGAGCGTCCCTGGAGGTCACTGCGCCGTCCGTTGCCGGCAGGTGAGGTCTGGGGCCATGCTGCCTTGTTCATTTGCCCATCAGGCTGGATTGGGTTTGTCAGGACATTAACAAGCTGGTTGCTAACGGAGGGAGTCGAAGTCCCACAGAAAGATAAGGCTGGTCGGTGGCACACACCCCTTTGTTCCGACAACTTTTGATGGCGGCAATTTGGAGAGAAACTGTTTGAGTTGGTCTTCTGCGGCGGCGGGAACAAGTCAGGGAATTGCTCTTCGTCTGCACAGCCTGGTGGTTTTACCGGGGCCATTTGCAAAAACGACACCCATGGGGGGGGGGGGGGGGGTTGGGGGGGGAGTGAGCCAGGCTACCTTGCGACCGCTTATTAGCAGCGGGGAGGCCTTTGGCCTCGGTCCGGCATTACGGTATTCCATTTCGCTGGATCGGGGCTGGGGACGCTGTTCCCAGTTAGCGGCCAGTCAAGAGCTCCGTGCACAGTACCGCTTCTGCAGATTATTTGTTTGGTGCCTTAAGGCTTTCACTAGTTTGAAAGACTGGAAATGCGGGGAAAGGAATCTATTGGACACAATTTCAAAATAGGAGCCTCGAGTCGGCTGGCAACAGTTCTCATCACGACATTTCACAATTTGTACAAAGTATTGACTTGTTCTTATATGATTAGTAAACCAATCTTTATCTTTCATAAGTAAATCTTCCGCCACAAGTTCAGATAATTCAGGTGCAGCATATTCAGCCACTGTTGGAAAATTGTCAATTGTTACTTGCATCCACAATTCTAACAATGTTTGGTCTGCAAATTAACACGTTATTAAACATGCATTAAAAGAGGCGCCTGCTTGTTAGCTGCTGTCAGTCCAATAGGAACTCTGGCTTTGTCATCTTAACTGATAAAGCACACTTCTCTTGGTCCCAACATGGAGGCAATTTCCTCAATGTTATTTAGCGTAGACGTGCAAAATCGACCATCAATGTGCTTGGAGTGTGAATCATGTTGTGCTCGAATTAATTTCACTGGTACAGTTTTGGCATGTCGTTTACCCTCAAAGGATGAAATTCGTTTGGGTATTAAGCTAGTATAAACAGCACTTGAACTTATTTGAAAACCTTTGATCTTCAGGTGCTCTGTCAGTTCATCAAGAGTTTTGACACTGCGGTAAATATCACTCCGCCTTTTCGCATGAGCAGCAGACCCACGTAAGGCAATGTCAACAATATTGTGGTCGGCTATCTTTCTGTCGGATCTTTAATTTAACGATTATGTCAGGATTCTCTGCACACATTTTAGTTAAAGTGTTTTCTTTCTTTTTTTTTTGTTTTCCTGAACAGCTGCTGCTTTTCTTGCTCGCATTTTTTCTTTTCAGTTTCTTTTCTAGGCCATCAATTTTTAGTTTCTTTTCAGTAAGTTTATTTTCCTGGTCTAAAGTTATAACGATTCTGCATTTTCGCTTATAAAATCCAATAAATCTCTCTTGAAGATATTTATTTGACCCTGCAGTTCGTATTTGGCTTTTGTTTTGTACTTAACAGAGTCTACTTCACTGCTACTGCTACTTCATGTACTGGATGGACCAGCTTCCGACAAGTCAACATTTTTTCTGGTCCTTTTCATTAGGAGCTTTATATTTTATATCGTCTTCTTCTACTGTTACATTTGTAGGAAATTGATTAGAAGCAGTTTCATTTTTCAAAGCATGCATGACCTGCCCAGAAGCCGAGCAGTTCTCCTTTATTTTCTGTGCATAACAGCATATTTAACTAATAAAGCATCTAATTTTGCTAACAAATTATCCTCTTTCTTTAATTCGTTCCAAATTTTATTGACTTCTTTTTTGACTATCCTGCTTACGCTTACTTGGTAAATCCTTTACATAGGCCTCAAATATCAACTGATGAAAGTTTGGATGTTCCATTTCTTTGTGTAAAAAAAAAAATGAGACTGTATTATTTCCCTGAATACCTCAGTATATCGATAACTGATTGTTTATTTTTGTAAAATAAGCGACATTAATCAGATTAGTGGCCATATTTTATTTCCTTCCCCAATCTCAGACCGAAAGAAAGTATACGGTGGCTTTCTTTTCCACTGTACGATTTATTATTGTTAGTCATTTATATTGACTGCACATGACACTTGAACCTTGCCCACACCTGCAACATGCTCGCAAACATACATCCTTAGTCATTTGCGACAAACAGAATATACAGTTGAAGAGAGGCCACATTTTGACTTCTCTTGCACTAACAAAGTGTGCTAACATTCTGACCAGCCTTATGCAGTGCACAGACACACATTAAATAAATCTTATATTGTTAAAAGCCTATAATTTATATGACTATTTACACTCATTTACACTTATAAATATTTTAAAATAATGTAATAACCAATCAATTTTTAAGATTAATTTTTTTAGAGAAAAGACACGATTGTTGACGTCATCTAACCCCTTGTCATCAACTGTCAAACATTCGCAACCCCGCCCCCCCCCTATACTTTGTTGACGTAATTAATGGACGTCCCCTTTGTCTATAGACGTATAAACCTCCTTACCTACCTAACTGCCTTCCTGCCTGCTTCGATTGCTTTATATTGTTGTTAATGATGAACGCCTTCAGTTGAAACTTAGTTTGATTCTTATCTGGTTGTCATTCAGTCTTACCAAGACAAAATCACCACTCTTACATTTTGTAACAATCCTGGTGGTAGGATCTTATATGACGGCTGATTGCTGAGAAACACTACCAAATGTGTTACGTTTAAATTATTTTAATTTCATTTTTTTTTAACAAATACATATTTTCGTTAAAATGTTTTAGAAAAAGCATTTTTTAAAATAAAATTCAAAAGACATTAGCATTAATTGAAACAATAGAAGAAGCGTATCTCATCTTTTCAAATCGAGTAGTCATGTAGAAAAACGTGTGCCATTTTTTCGAATAATTGGGTCAAATCTAACTTTCAAACAGTCCAACGTTTAAGTTCCTATAACTGTATGTTTGCCAGTGCTATGAACTTCAGTGCTTCAAACGTTCATTATCGTTTTATGTAACAGCCTCCTGTGATAAGATGGGAGGGACCACACCAGCCGGAGTCCTTGTTAAAACCACGAAAACAAGTTCTGCTCATCCAGAAACGTCACCGATGGTATGGCAGCTTGTTGTTGGGGCTCTCATCATCTTTTGGCGTGTCGGCGAAGTGAGTCCATGCGCTTGTTGACCGCTGGCACCAATATGATGTTGGCGAAGTGAGTCCATGGCTTGCTAGCCATTGGCACCATTATGGATGTATCGCTGGCGGTGAGTCAAGCCAGCTAAGAAATGTGGGAGTTCTAAAGCACGTATTTTTTTATAATAGTATTTCAACTGATTTTGTAACACCAATGATATAGTTAAAATTATATTCTTTTATAGCTAACATTTTATATACCTACTTATGATTTATAGAACAGTAAATATACATTGGAAAAATGTAACACAAACATTCTTGAAAAAAAAATGAAATAATAAAACAAGTGCAAAGTTAAGAATGAGATTTGTTTTTATTTGAATAAACGATAATTTATATAAAAAATAAGCAATGCTGGCCATAAAACCAGTGGCGTAGCGAGGCAGGTGCGGGGGGTGCGGACCGCACCGGGTGACACCATTTTAGGGGTGACACCCGAATAAAAAATTGCATATTTACAGGGCACACATTGCTCTCAAAAACCGAGATTCATAAAGAATAACCGATCACACAAATATTTTTCACAAATTAAAATGTAATCAATTCAAATGCGTGCTTTATTAAAAGGTCAAGGTTGATGCGTCAGAAATGAGATGATCATATATTTAGGTCAGAAAACACAGTCATTATTCCACGCCAATTGAAGTGTTCGGTAACGTCCGTTAGTGACAGGAGGCTATATTTACATAGATTCTGAGAAATAGGGCGGTGTAGTAGGGCGATTACAAGTATACGAATCGGTAAAAATTAAAAACATTATAAATGAGTTTTTACCCATTTATAGGGTTAAAAATTACCACACGCTTAACTTGTGTGGTCAACACTCTTTTGAGGAAAGGTTCACGTATGACATTTTTCAGTACTCTTGAAAGAATATTTTCCTTCTTTGCTTCATCCACTCATCAATGAAATGTTCTATTTGAACACACTGGAATGTCAGTGAAAAGACTATCAACAAAGCATTGGAGTACTTATCATGCTGCTGATAAGACAGTGAAAGTGAAAGATGAGTTTGATGAATGTGTGGCGGCTATTGAAGCTTTGTGTAATCCTCTTGAAAATTTGGATACAAGAGGTATAGAACAAGGTCTTTTGCATGCTGTCTTTGATTTGAAATGCAATTCTTTAATTATTATGTTTTTGATTTTACGTTTATCTGATACCTTTTACCTTTGGGCTCATCAGCTTGAGGTCCTTGATGAAACATGCTATTGAAAAGAAATATTTAAAATCAGACCACTATGGAATTGCGGTAGTGAGAAGATTAAGGTTTAAGAAGAGAAAGGCAGAAAAAAATTAATAGATGCTGGACTCTTTCTTCGAGACGAAAACATTAGGGAGATTCTGGAGTGTATTGATCGCTTTCATTTGGAACTACATATCAGATCATCAGCGATCATGGAAGAAGCAGATATGTTTGGGGCTGTCCAACACAAGGTAAATACCTTACTGAGACAGTTCTGCAAAAGGTGGAGAGTTATGGCATAAATATTCAGGACTGCCGTGTGCAGGGCTACGACAACGGTGCAAACGTGATCAGTAAGAACGCAGGAGTCCAGTAGGGGATTTTAAACATTAATCCACGTGCGTACTTTGTACCATGTGCCTGCCACAGTTTGAACTTGGTGGTTGCAGATGCTGCCATCTCGTCATATGAATCCACTCCACGAGTGTTACAGCGTGTGTATTTGGCTTTTCCTCTTCGCCCCACCACTGGGATATTTTAAAAGACCACGTTCCTAATAAGACCATAAAGCCTCTGAGCGAAACCCTTTGCGAATTCAGAATCGACAGTTTGCGACCATTGAGAAGCCAATTGGAAGAGGTCAGAGAAGCGTTGTTCGTAATATCTGAAGAACCATTACAGTTGATCCGAGGATTAGAAACAAATGAGAGCAGCTGCAAGAGCTTATGGCAATTATTGCTCACAACGACAATGCTTCTATTTTAAGTGCTGAATGGTTAGATGAGGATGATGTTGACTTGTCTGGTATATCAGAGCCGTAAGATTAAAATGATCAATCAGCTGCTACTGCTATAGACTATGCCAAACAAGGGCGTCATATCATTTTTTTCAGTGTGGGGAGGGGGTCAAAGCCAAAACTTGTTCGGCTTGTTAAGATGTTTATTACTGGAGGCGCCACAGTAGGCCTACATAGCAATTTAAGTAAATCCTGTAAATTAGGGGTTGGGGGCTAAAGTCCGCCCCCCGCCCTACCCAAATGATATTACTATTGCCCATTGTTACGATTGATCAAACCTGGCTACCCCTTGGGAAGATTATAGCAGCTGGAAACTATGATATAATTGTCAGCTTTACTGACTGTAATCATATTTATAACCACAAACAATGATATTTAGTCTTTAACAACCCGTCAATTGATTTTGCATTTTAAAATGTAAATTTAAAAACTTTTTAAGTTGTTAATTAACAAGCTAAAGATGTAATGAGATGTTTTTCCTACAATTTCATTGTCATTAAAATAGATCAGCACAAAGTTAAATTAATTTATTTATAATATAAAAGCCAAATATCACTAAATTTACTGTAATCAACAGTAAATTGACACGAAGTAATGGTGTGCACTTTTTGTCAGCAATATTTTAAAATAATTATGGAATAAGATTTTACCCCATTGGTAAGAGATCGCAGTTCCTCTTATTATGTTGGGTGTTTTTATGAAGCCTGTACGTCGGTCGAGATGTAATGGGTTTTATATTCAGTAAATATGATCTTTAAAAAATGAATTATTATTACAATGAAGCGATATCTTATGAAAAGTTTATTTTCATTATCAATTCATTTTTGGTAGTTAGTTGATAAATGTGTGACGGAAAAGGATATTATTCATGAACAATTGTATAATTATTTATTTATTATTTTTTTTTGGATGTACATAAATTATATTTGTAAATTACCAATGTTTAAAGTAGGTTTTTCTAAATCGGAAAATGCTCAACATGTCAACTGACTGGAGTGCTGCATTATTACCAAAAGTTTGAAACTAATTTAAGAAACAATGTGAAAAATCTCTCAAAGCAACATGCAAACTAAACGAATCCTGACTACAACACAATATGACATGAAATAAAAAAAAAACACAATATGATAGTAAAATAAATTACATGACACCAGTAATATAATTGATTAAATTCTGAACCTCTTTAATTAATATTTTTTTTAATTCAATGTTTGAACAAATTTTGAAGATTAATTAAATTCAGTCCAAAGTCCAACACAATCTCTGTAGATGTCCTGTCCGGCTTTATTTAGAGATTTTCATTTTTTTATGACACTGTAGATGGGCTCCGTTGCGACCAGCTCCTCCACTGCTGCAATGAAGGGGGAAAAAGATTAATGGAGGTTAATTTTAAATAAACATTCTCATATTAAATGATTTTTTTAAAAAGATAAATAAGGCGATTAGAGACACACCGTTAATTTTTAATACACGTCATTTTTTTGCAAAGTTTTTTTACGTTGATATAATGCATGTATTTGGTTTCATTTAAAGCAACTACAGTCATTTCCCAATTCCAAAAATGTGGGGAAGAATGCTAAACAGATCTTTTAAAAAATAATTGAATGACCAAGTCCATGGTCCAGTCTTATCGGTCGGAAGCATTGATCAGACATACTAGACTCAAGAAGCTATGGAGGAGCACATTTAAACTTTGATCAACTATTTGTAAGCAACATAATGCTATCACAATGATGATTAAAAAAACATTTATTTTAAAATATATGTACGTTGGTATCAGAAAGATGAAAACTGTGCGTTGTAATGTGTGAAATTTTTCTTATGTGAATTTTCATTTTAAAATGTAAATATTTTTTTTTCAATAAACAGAACAGCTAAAATATAAATATTATATAAAAGCAGGTGTGTGACTTTCTCAAACATTTTCTGTTGATTGACTTACAGTGCCCCCTCTACAGAACACCCCCCACCCTTCTTTACCCTCCACCCACGACCAAAATTACCGTACAAACACATTTTGTCTAAAATTTCAAGACACATTTCTGGTTGTTGGTCGCCAAATCTAAGCTAATCTTATAAAAGGGTCTAACAATGTTAGGATTATATTATTAAGCTATTCGTGTTGAAAAACCTTCGGCTTTGATTGTTACTGGTTCTATACATGAACTTTTCACTTATCCCCATTTGGGTGGAAAGCATTACAGAACAATGATAAGATAACTATTTTTTTTTTAACATCGTCTCGATCCGCCTATTTTTTTCTCAAGATTCCCGGACCAGGTGTAAAAAACTGCACTTGGCTCAGCCTTAATACACATTGACACCCGAGGAACAAACATGGAATACATTCTAAGGAAAAATCAAGACCCACAACCAACAGTAACTCTCTACTACCAAACATTTCAGTTTCTTGCGTAGGGGGCCGTCCAAAAAGTACGTCACGCTCCAGAAGGGGGAGGGGGTGTAAGAAAGTGTGACAGTTTGTGACGGGGGGGGGGGGGGGGCAGGGCATGTTTGACGTCACACATTAAAAAAAAAAAAAAAATTTATTTCTAATTTATTTTTTATTTTTTTAGTAGAATTTAATAGCTTTAAAAATAATTTTGAAAATTGTGTGAAACATTGGAATTAGTTTTATGTCAAAATAGCATGAAATGTGTATCTCCTGAATGTGTTATTCACGATTCCTCTCCCTAGGAGCACTAGTATGCTGTTGCGAAGCCTTGTTTTATGTATAGCCTTGCCGAGATCAACAGGAGTTTTCAAAGTATGATCTTCATTGTCCATCTTTGCAGACCAGCTTACTTGATCGAATTTGCAAAGTATGTCACTTATACTTTGCCTCACAAACAATGTCGAAGAAACATGTAGGACAACACAGAGCTCGGGCTCGGGAGAATGTGCCAACCCAAACTGTTCCAGGATCAAATCAGAGAAAATGCATCAGTCCTTTGAGAATCGCTGCTAGAAGGCAAAGAGAACTCATGGCAGTTATTGCCAGAAAAGAAAATGCACATTCAGAGGTTGTTGAGTGGCTAGATGTGGATGAATTTGATCTGTCTACAATTACCCTTCCAGGAAACGATGATGGTGAAAGATTGATGCCAGTCGTACTATGGATGAATACTTTACTTCACCATGGATGAATGATGTCTAGTGAATATTTTTGAATTAAACATAACTCACAAACCCATAATAAACAGATTCAATATAGCAGAAGAGTTGGTCACAAAATTTGTCAAGCTAGTCTTTTTTTAGTCAAATTGTTTTGTTTCATTTTTATTATTTAATCACTGGGTGAGGTCAAGTTTCGTTAATTTACTCCTTATCCTGTGTAAAAAGATTGCATAATAGGAAATTATCTAAAGCTTGACCTCACCTTTTGTTAATTGAAAAAGCAGCAGATAAATGATGTGTATTATAGGGGCCTATAATTGTCTAGTCAAATTTTTGCAATTTTTGCTGTCAAATTCAATATAGATTGAGTTACTGCTTCAAAGAATAACTGTGACAACTGTTGACAATTAACTATTTTACTATTAAAGTCATTTTAATAATGTGATAGTTCTTTTAAGTGGAAATGTTATATTTTAATACAGTTTAATAGTGAAGTGTGTTTTATATTAAATTTTAATTAGGTGTTAATTTTTTTTTTAAATTGTTCAAAAGTGTGACATACTTTAGGGGGGAGGGGGGTCGAGATTTGTGACAGTTTGTGACAGGGGGAGGGGGGTAAAATTGTCAAAAATAGCGTGACGTACTTTATGGACGGCCCCTAGGCCGATAACATTACACTATTAGGGAAACGTAGTATAGATATATCTAAAGCTTTTATTAAATTAAAAGACGCATGAATACAAGCAAGACGGGAAGTAAACAAGAAATTTAAAAAAAAATGCATGACTATGTAAAGAGAAGGTAAAGGTAACAGATAAACGTGAAATCACAGACAGCAGGTAAAAGAACTTGCGCTGCATGACAATTTTTCTCAAATAATAAGGGGCGATGCTACAGACAAATAGGCGAATATTTATTTTGAGTATTTCTAGGTTTCAAAATATTTGGTTTCAAAATCCTATAAAAATTTAATAAATTTATATTAATTATTAAAAGATTTAAGAACTTAAATTTATTTTTTTACTTTTTTAACCCTTTAAGTAGGTAAAAATTCATTATTAAAAATGTTTTTGATTTTTACTGTTTCGATTCATGTACTTAGAAACACCCAACCACATTCTGTCACCTACAAAATTTACCAAAGACTTCAATCGGCGTTGAATCATGGTCAAAGTGATGTTCTTCTGACTTAATTTTAGGTTCGCTCATTTCTGACGCATCAACTTTGAACTTTTAATAATGCAAGAATTTTGATTGATTTGAATGGAAAATTTATGCGTGACCGGTTATCCTATAAATGAAATTCGGTTTGACCGAGCAGTGTTTTCTCTGTAAAAATGCAATTTTTCAATTTGGTGTCCCACTTGATGTGGTGTCACCTGTGCCGTTCGCACCCCCAGTGGCGTAGCTAGGGTTGGTGTCACCCGGTGCGGTTCGCATCCCCAGTGGCGTAGCTAGGGTTGGTGTCACCCGGTGCGTTCGCATCCCCAGTGGCGTAGCTAGGGTTGGTGTCACCCGGTGCGTTCGCATCCCCAGTGGCGTAGCTAGGGTTGGTGTCACCCGGTGCGGTTCGCATCCCCAGTGACGTAGCTAGGGTTGATGCCACCCGGTGCGTTCGCATCCCCAGTGACGTAGCTAGGGTTGTGTCACCCGGTGCGGTTCGCATCCCCAGTGGCGTAGCTAGGGTTGTGTCACCCGGTGCGTTCGCATCCCCAGTGACGTAGCTAGGGTTGTGTCACCCGGTGCGGTTCGCATCCCCAGTGGCGTAGCTAGGGTTGGTGTCACCCGGTGCGTTCGCATCCCCAGTGGCGTAGCTAGGGTTGTGTCACCCGGTGCGGTTCGCATCCCCAGTGGCGTAGCTAGGGTTGTTGTCACCCGGTGCGGTTCGCATCCCCAGTGGCGTAGTTAGGGTTGGTGTCACCCGGTGCGGTGTAAGCCCCTCCCTTTCCCCGTCAGATTACTTCTTGTTAAAATAAGTCCACAGTACAACAATGACAAGTACAAAAACAAATTAATTGAATGTTAGGAGGTAAATGTATTGAAGAACTGTAACAACGTTAAGTTATAGTATCATTACTAGGGGTCGCAATCCGGGATCCCGAAATTCCAAAATACAGGATTACCGGACCATATTTGATGTTTGAAAAAACAGGGATTGGATTAATGAAAACCGGGATTTTCGATAATCCCGGGATTTCATTTTCAATTTTTTTAAAAAAAATCCCTTTTCTTAGTTTCCACGTCATAGTTATAGCAATGCATATCAATAATTTATGAGATGTGCAAATCCCTCACACAACGTGTCTCAAGTTCAAAGAGAGAGCCGACCGACGAGCTGAATCTGTGTACTCTTATTGCTCAAGAATCATGACGTTTTGTTTTTACATCGTGCGTGTGTAGTGTGTAAGTGGAGACGAGTCACGGCGTGAAGGTACAAGATTGGTAAGTAAATGTTTTCATATTATTGACAAATAAGTGATTGGTATAGTCGAATGAACATCGACTTTTGACTTCCATTAACATTTTGTTTGGAAATAATAACATGTTGCACTCAAATCACGGGGTAAACTTTTAATGTAAAATTTTTTTTGGAGTGCTTGATTTCTTTTAATTATGCCAAAAGACCTACACTACATATTTAAAAATATGAGTAAATCCGTATTTTGATAATCAAATCCCTTAAGTTTAAGACACAGAAAAAATTATGGTACTTCTATTTTGTGATAACAATATTAATAATTTAAATTCAAATCATAATTGATTTTCGAGCTATTTTGTCTCAGGCTAAATTTCCCAGTTTGTCTATGCTGTACCTAGCCAAAATTTACATGTCTGAATGTCCCAATTGTTCTGTACCGTACCTAGCCAAAATTTTCATGACTGAATGTCCTAATTGTTCTGTACCATACATAGCCAATTTAAACATTAAAAAAAAGTTTTACACGTCAAACCATTTCGAGTGAATTAATAATTTTTTGTTAATGATTTATTTTCCCAAGTTTATAGAGAGAAATGGGGGACCCTGAAAAAAATAAACCTAAATTTGAAAAGCATATGAAACTATCGGAAACAAAGAAATCAGTTTGGGATCATTTCTTGAAAGCTACGGAAATCTCTCAGCTAAATGTATTAGATGTAAAAAGATACTTAAAACATTGGGAGGTACAACTTCAGGCCTTGACTCTCATTTAAAGTCTGTACATTCCAGTGACTACTTGGATGTATTTAATTTTCTAAGGCCAGATTGCGACCAGATGCGAAAATATATCGTGGATATTCAAAAGCTTGGTCAGACAGCGGATTCCTCGTTGGAAATATCTACGAACAATGAAATTGAACATCTTGGATCTGAGCATGACGAACTTGAAAACACACTGCCGCTTAAGAGACAATTAGAAATTGAAATACACAAGAAACTTCACGCTCAGGATAATAATACCAGACTAACGGTTGGAGACATGGATACATTGGTAAAAATAGAAATGGCTTTATTTGAGAATGGCTGTTCAAAAGGAAAATATCTAGAAATTGCTTATGATAGCCTAAGGTCTATTCCTCAGACCAATGTGGAGTCAGAGCGGGTGCTCTCTTCATCAGGTTCCTTTGTAACCATTTGCGGTCAAAGTTAAGTGACCAAATATTATACTTTGTCATTGCTACGATTTCATTATTTAAATTTGACCAAGGTTAAAACAACACCAATTATTTTAATATTTGATTAATCAAACTTTTTAAATTAAAAAGTTAAGAATATTATTTTTGTTCATTTGATTAAAGTCTGAAGATAAACGTGTGTTTAAAAGCTTATAAAAAATCAAAATGTGATATTTTTTTAAATATTTTTATTTAATTGATAAATCCTCACCTGTAATCTCGAATCACGACTAAAAATTCTCTAAATATCGGAAATATCGAAAATACCGGTTTTGGCAAAAGGGACCGGTTTTGCGACCCCTAATAATTACGTTTAAAGTTTTTTTGTTTTTTTTACGTTAAATTTATTTCATTTAAAATTTTCCTTTCCTGGTCTTCAAAGCTGCAAACCTGTCAATCATTTGAAAAAAAAGCAATATCCTTTACCGTATAGTTTTTCAGTTCATGGTAGAGCCAGAACAGAAAGTCTTGACTGTCCCATCGTGGATCGTAAACAGTTCTCCTGCCATTCTCTTCTTAAACCTTATTCTTCTCTCTACAGAAATTCATTATTGATCTGATTAAAAGTGCCTATTCAATAGCATATTCCACCAATTGACAGCGCTTCTCGTGCAGAAACAATCTTTATGATTCTAGAATAGTCATCACTTTGTCAAGAGTAAAGTCTTTAGTGTGCAGATGCTGCTGTATAAGATTAACTTCCTCAAGTAGATCAGCCGAATGGTAGAGGTATCAGATAAACGTGATATCACAGACAACATTTTAAAGACCTCGCGATGTTTTACGAATCGGTGAACATATTTATTTTTGAGTATTTCTGGGTTTCGATATATTTGGTTTCAAAAATCTTTTTTTTTTTTTTTAATATAAATTTAAATCCATTTATTTAAAGATAATTGAACATTTGTAAAATAGCATTCTGTAAACATTATAAAATGTTTTTATTTAAAATGTTTTTATTTAAAATGTTTTTAATTTTACCGATTCGCTTCATGTACTTAGAATCGCCCGACCACATATAGTTTTCAGCATCAATGGAAAGCTTTATTGCTCCGAATTTAGATAAATATAGCTTTTTTCCACGTACGAAATTTACGTAACACTTCAAACGGCGTTGTATAATGGTCAAATAATGTTTTTCTGACCTAAGTATTGGGTCAGCTCATTTCTGACGCATCAGCCTTGAACTTTTATTTCAGAATGTACTTGGATTGGTTACACGTTTGGAAAAGTTACACGTCATCGGTTATCCTTTTAAGAATTTCGGTTAGACCGAGCAGTGTTTGCTCAGTATATATGCAAGTTTTCAAATTGGTGTCACCCCTGAGATGGTATCACCCGGTGCGGTCCGCACTCCCGAACCCTTCTAGCTATGCCACTGCACACCCTCGCACCCTCATAGCTACGCCACTGTGCACCCCACATCACCTAGCTACGCCACTGCTTACATTGTTTCCCTTATTTCCTTAAAGTTACATGATCGACGCCTCCTTTATTTTATTCCTAAATGTATGTCATTCATGTTATAATATTTCAATATTTAGCGAAATCTATCTCGTTATATCTTTCATTCTGTGCTATATTGTTTTGCGAGAGCTATATTTATTTGTTTAATTTGTTTACATTCTGTTTTTCGTTAGGCATTCAAAAGGTTATATAGATTAGATTACATTGATAGCTTTGGCCGTCTTTACAGCAGTGGAGGCCCTGGGCACAGTTAATGACTGAGGCCCCTATACTTCTATATAATCACGGTCGTGTGAAGGGGGAAGTTGCGAGAGGGCCTATCACATCTGGCACCAATATCAGGGGAAAATTCGTCCTTAATAGTGAATTAAGCGATAAAATCTCATAAACTTTACATTGGCAGGGCGCCAAAATCGTCTTATTAGTGCACCCTGTGCACCGCTTTTCCTAACATATGTATTTATACGTGATTTGTCTGAGGGAAAATGAGACAGCATGAATTTCCAATCAAATGCTTAAAAAATTTATTTGGAATTTCTTACTACTATAACTTTCTTCAATTAAATTAGTAAATACTGATGGTTTGTATTTAAAAAAAACTCCTAGATTTACTCCTTCCCCCACCTCACAACAAGAAAATTCATGGATTTTTTTCAAAATCAAGTTTTGCTAAAACTAGTATAACTTAAAAATTTAAATGATTTGAGAATAAAAAAATCTTGTTTAAATAAACTGGAGCCGCTTTCATTTTAAAAGCAAAATCAATTTTCAATTTTTTTTTTCAAATTGCACTAATATTATTGGCTGCATAAGGCAGCAAGAAGCGTGTGGACCTCTAGAGCAGGCCTGCACAACATATACGGCCCAAAAAGACTGATGAAAATTCATAATATTATAAATTAAGAATAAAATACAAAATTTTTTACAAACTTCTAGTACACCAAGAACCACTTAAATATATGAACCGACAATCTCAATAAAGGACATTAAAAAATGCAAGCAACCCTCATGTTTGAGTAATGATCATTCTGAAGACATCTTGAGATCAGCCACTTTCAATATATCACATGAATACGACAAACTCGTTACTGAAAAAAGATGCAATGTGTTACAATAATTATGCTTACAAAGTACATTACATTTATTTCGTAAGTAACAATACATTCTTCGTGGTTATTATTTTCTTAACAGCTTAAGCCACTTTCCTATTTTCTTTTGGCCTGCACACGTTTTTCATAAAGAAATACGGCCCGCCTTAGATTTTGAGTTGTGCAGGCCTGCTCTAGAGGCGTGAGGTTCCCTGTGGGCGTGATACCCTCAAAAGGTGGGATCACCATAGAAGCATGAGGCCACCAGAGGCGTGAGTTGCTGGCCATGTGCCCAGTGAGCCCATGCCTTAAGATGGCACTGGAAACATAGACATATAGATGGGTGGGTTGGTGGGTGGGTGAGTCGGTCCGACGTTTGGTCTGTCGGTAGGAGGCATGCAGGAAGGCAGGCAGTCTGGCTGGGGGGATGTGGGTGGGTGGGTAGGTGTGTAGTAATTAAGTGGGTAGGTGGGTAGGTAGGTAGGTGGGTAAGTAGGTGGGTAGGTAAGTAGGGAGGTAGGTAGGTACAGTAGAAGTCCATCAGTCCGGCATCCAACAGTCTGAAATGCCCGATAGTCCGGCATCGCTCCGGAAAATTGTAAAAATTGTGGTTTTCTCCAAAAGTGTGTCTTTAAAGCAAATAAAAACGTTCGAGAGTTATTCGGAAGTTTTCGGGGTAGTTCGGGATCATCCGGAAGCGCTCGGTATTGTTCGGAAACAATTAGCGGCTGGCTAGTCTCAGCTGTCACAACAAATACAGGTGCAGTGCAGCACAGTTAATCAATCACGAAGCGTTTTCACCTTTTTTTTTTTGTGCGTTGTTGTTTTGTGTCCTTTCACATCGCAGTAAACTGTGTCTAAGTACTCTCTACTGTAATACAGTGCATCTGTAGTGACGTATGTACATTTTGAAACTGTTTATAAACAAAGTGAGTTTCGCTCTAACTGTACAGTGACCATGTTTTCAAAACCTAAGCCTTCGAGTTCAAAAGGAGAGAAACGAAAACACGTAACACTGATTCTCAATCAGAAACTAGAAATCATCAAATGACTAGCAGGCAGATAGGTTGCCATGTAGACAGGTAGGTAAATAGTTAGGCAGACAAGTAGGTAGGTATGTAAGTATTTAGTTAGGCAGGTGAGGAGACCCATCTTCCAACGAGCGCCTTCCCAGGTTGCGGATACGGGAAAGCCCACCAGATATCGAGTCACGGGGAAATAAAAACCCGGGGTGGACCAAAATCAGTAATTACTACATTGTAAATAGTCGAGGGATCCACATAGACTAGGGACCCGACCCAATACAAAGGCAGCTACTCTAAGAGGGGCAAGGGAAATCCCCCCCCCCACCCAGCGGTTGTGCGCGGGCTGACGAGTGTTACGAAAGTTAAACCCATGACTGAACAAAAGTATGATATACGGATAGCGACCTGGAATGTACTTAGTCTATACAGAGCGGGAGCCTTGGCCCGCCACAGTAACGAATTGTTAAGATATAGAATGGTGGTTGCGGTGCTGCAGGAGACCAGATGGAAAGGCTCGGATATCCTAAATACTAAGGAGTATACAATATTTTACAGTGGAAACAACACAAACACTTTAGGAACAAGGTTTGCACTTAAAAGAGAGACAATAAATGCAGGCATTGCTCCAACGGAAGATATAGATGAAAGCGTGAAGGAAACTTTCTACGAAACACTGGAAAGAGCGTTTGATGAGGCGCCACACAATGGCACCAAAATAGTCCTCGGCGATTTCAATGTGAAAATTGGGAAAGACCCTGCTTACAGACAAACAATCGAAAAGGAAAGTCTGCATAATCAGAGCAATGACAACGGAGCACGTTTTATAGAATTCACTTCAGAAAAAGAAATGACAATCAGTAGCAGAATATTCCAACACAAACAAATACATAAAGCGACATGGATATCTCCAGATGGATTTACCCGCAATCAAATTGGCCACGTACTCATCGACCAGAGGCATGGCTCGGACATATCAGATGTGCAAAGTTGTAGAGGGGCGGACATAGACTCAGACCACATGCTTGTTAGAATCAAATATAAACAAAGAATTTGTAACATCCACAATAAACAAAATAAAAGAGAAATACAGTACAAAATCCAGAAATTAAGCAGGGACACAAAAATTACTGAGGAATATCAACAGAAGATTGAAACTCAACCACAATTGTTCAAAAGGGAATCAACCAGCAACGTTGATATAAAAGAGCAATGGGAAAAGATGAAGCACATAGTAAGAAGTGTAACAGAGGAAACGACTGGATTTAAACTGATTGTAAAAAATAGCAGAATGGTATGACGCAGTATGCAAAGACTTTATAGAGCACATAAAAAAAGCTCGGTTAATTATGATGCAAGGAAGACAAAAAGAACACGACAATTATTTAATGAAGAAAGAAGTGTGACCAGCAAAGTTTGCAGAAAGAAAAAACGTGTTTGGGAAATATCAAAATAGTAATGATAGAAGAGTTGGCAAAAGAAAGAGATGTGAGGGAAATGTACGTGGAGATAATAGGGAAAAGAAAGCAAGATCCCACATGTGTGAAAGTACTGGTGGGGAATTGATCACAAAGAGCAGGAGAGTACTAGAGAGATGGACCCAACACTTTGAAGGCTTACTGAATGGCTCGGGTGGAGGAACCAATGAGGCTTACGATCTACCATAAGGAGAACCGGACCAACAGGTCAACCAACCAACTTTAAATGAAATAAAAGATGTGATCTTCACAATAAAAAATTAAAAAGCCCTACGAATAGACCTTATCCCTGCAGAACTCATAAAGCTAGGTGGTAACGAACTGCATAGGCAAATGCACGACCTCATATCAAGAATCTGGCTGGAGGAAGAAGTGCCTATAGAATGGGATACTGCAATTACTTAAGAAAATCAGCGAATACCGAGCCATGGCTCATATGGTCCCCCCCCAACGCACCACCCCGCCAACCAAACCGGCCATCAACCACTCCCCCAGTGGTCTTTATTCCGATTGGGCCGCGAAGCGGCACGCCAGGGACGTTCCGTCCCTAAGACAGCCACTCCAGACCTCCACTCGATTGGCCGCTGAGTGTGGCAGCCCCAGAGAGTGTGGCAGTAACCGGGCCAGGCTTTCTAGGGGTTTGGGGTGGATATATTTAACGTCTCTAAAGTCCCCCCCCTTACCACCCCGGGGTAAAAGGGATACTGCACTCATGATCCCAATTCACAAAAAAGGATCTAATGTGGTCTGCTCAAATTACAGAGGAATCTCCCTCATATATTTAATGTAAAAAATCCTCACAAAACTTTTAGCAAGAAAACTGGAAAGGTAGAGAGAAAAGATCCTAGGGGACTACCAATGCGGATTTCGACAGAATAGGTCAAACACGGATCATATTTTTACTATAAGGTGTCTCCTTGTGTAATGTTACGAATATAACATCGACATACACCAAATATTTGTGGATTACAAAACAGCATACGATAGCGTAAACAGGAATTAATTATACAATGCTTTACAAAAACTTGGAGTCCCTAACAAGCTAACTCGTCCCATACATAGTACAATGGCCAAAAGTAGAATCAAGGTGCATGGAGAATATTCAAGGGAGTTCCCAGTCAATCGGGGCCTTGGACAAGGAGACTCACTATCACATATCCTGTTTAACATCAGGCTTGAAATAGTTAATAGAAGCTTGCACGTGAGCACCAGTGGAACCATAACACTCAACTTCCAGAGAGGTATTACAGAACAACGACCATCAGGAACCTTAAATAGCCAACCATTGCAGTACCTGATATACGCAGACGATATAGCGCTACTGGGTAGTAACAGTAATGACATTGTTAAAGCATTCAGGGAACTTGATAATGCCCCAGTCAAAGCTGGTCTTGATGTAAATGAACATAAAACAAAATATGTGATAATGCCACGAAACACCCACACTGATGACAACATCAATTTAAAGAACCACAAATTCGAGAGAGTGGCTACATTCAAATATCTAAGGGCAACTATAAACAAGCACAATGAAATAATATTATCGGAGCTGAAAAAAGGGATAACAACAGGCAACCGTTCCTATTTCAGCCTACAAAAGCTACTGGTCAGCAAAAACCTCTCAAGGGGAACAAAGAAGACGATATACACCAGTATCATAAGACCAGTAATAACTTAAGCAATTGAGACTTGGACCCTTACCAGAAAAGCATTGAACCTTCTCAATACACGGGAGAGGAACATCCTCAGAAAAATATACGGCACACTCATGGAAAATGATACATGGAGATTCCTTACAAACTAAGAGCGATACCAATTATACAATGACCCGCCCATAGTCGCAACAATAAAAAAGGCAGACTGAGCTGGGCAGGACATATTGAAAGGATGCCGGAATTTAGAGCAGCAAGAGTGATCTAATGCACAGGCAGAACCGTAGCGACAGACGACTCACCGGTCACCCAAGGCTGAGATGGATCGACGATGTAGAGAATGATTTACACCAGTTGGGGGTTCGCGCATGGATGCGGAAAGCCCTGGCTCGTTCCGGATGGAAGGATGCGGTGGAGCAGGCCGGGGCCCTATATGAGCATTAGCGTCACTGATGATGATAAGGTAGGTAGATAGGTAGACAGGAAGGTGAATATGTAGGTGAACAAGGCAGTAAAACAATAGGTAGACAAGTAGGTAGGTATTAAGTAGGTAGGTTGGTATGTAGATAGGCAGATAAATAGATGGATATGTGGACATACAAATACACATAATTTAATTATGCTCTAGCTTGGCCGAGTAGAAATCTATTATTACACTCTGTCATTTTTGGTCTTGGCTCTTTCGCTAAGATTAGAGAAGACTATCTTTTCTTTTTCCTGCCAGGTTACCAAACCTGTTTTGGTGGGTCATGATTTAATCTCAACTCTGTGTCTCAACACAGCCAGAGGGATCCATGAAACAATGAGACATCCGCAACGAAAGCCTGAAAAGATTACCCTGGTGGTGCATTACATCTGGTGGCTACCAAAAAAAAAAAAAAATTAAAAATGATTTTAACTTACTGTCAGGCTTAGATGGCAGCAGCGTCGCCTGCAGCTTGGCCACCTGCAGCTTGGTCGCCTGCTGAAGGAAGTCTCCTGACGAAAGTCGTATGTAGGTGATAATGTTGAGGATCAAGGTAGCAGAGATGAGGAGAATGGCCACGCCCGTTATTCCAACACCAACCATCTGCAAGGACACCGACTCTGTCACCTTATATTCAACACTTTGTGATAATTGAGGTGACCCTCCTTCAGCATGAGCAGAGACTCTCCGAGTGGCGCCAGTTGTTGATTCTGGTAAGGTAGAGGAAGCTGGATAAAGGGAAAAATGAAACAGACCTTATTTTCCCCAGGAACTTTGATTGCCTTTTGGATACGGGGTAATACCAGGACTCTTCATACGTGCAAGGGAAAATTGTGGTAAATAAACGAATTAAATATTGTAATTTATCTTTTAAAATCTCGAATAGTACTTTAAATGCTTTTGTGACAGTATGTTTTTTAGAAATAAATATGGGGATAATACTACATCAGAGCGAATAGATCACGATGTTTGAATGAAACATTTGATTCCGCTGAATTTATATTTGAACTATTTCTGATGTTTTTCGATGTTTGTCTAATTATTTTACAATAAACAACTGGACATTTAAAAAAGTAAATGAGTGAAACAAAGTATGGGAAAACCTGAAAAATGTACACAACAAAGCAAAGAACGTTTTGGCAGGAAGCCTTCATCAGCGAACAAACAACATAATTAAATAAGAATATTTTTAAGCTGAAAATTAGTATCCGAGAGGGTAGCAAAGAAAAGCTATGTGATTGTTTAATCACCGAGTAGATAGTTTTAAATCTATAACACATTAAAATTAACCACAGAGCCATAGCCACACAGAAATGTGTTGTACTGTAGGTTTCGTTTCTTGTTCACGATTAAAAGTTTGTGTTTTTAAGAGAACAATCGTAGACTCTCTTTCTGCTCAGTGTCCCACTACGGGTACTGATTCCCCAGTCTAAGTGAAATTATCAAAAAGCACGTCATCTTTACACAGGTTGATCGTTGATCGTTAACAAAACTCAATTGAAAGTCAGGGTGAACTATTAATGGAGACAAAAAAGTTAAGGATATGTTTTTTTAAAAAGTAAAAAAACAATAACTAACCTTCGACCTCCAGATGTGTTATGCAGCTGACGTTCTCAATATGCTTTTCTTTCCAGAAGAAGATAAGACAATGATACGTGTCACCTGTTTCAAAGTTGTTTGTGCTCAAAAATAAACACAGTTCTTGTTGGCTCCCCGTTACATTTATATCATGTGCATCTGACACGACCGTCACCAGCTCATTCGGCTTCTTGTCCTGGCGGAAAATCAGTTTCATTTAAAACCAATTTTTATTAAGACTTCAGTGTCAGTCCATCATTCTGTCCACCCATAATCCATCTAACCATCCACAAATTTTTGCATCCACCCAGGTACGCATCCACACATGTATCCAAAACCATCCCTCTATCTTCTATCTAGTTTTCCATCCACCCATCAATACAATCTATCGATCTGTCATTCATCCATCGCTTCCTCATTTTGACGTTATGTTTATACAAATACATTAGATAATTGACAGTCCGTAGCTGGTAAAACAAGAATGGAACACATCGTTAACGGTAAATAAGACAAATGATTTGTTGGAGTAAGCCAGTAAAAGACACCAACAATTTAATTTGTTGGCCACCTGGTAGAGTGCCTGTCAACCAGCCTTCATTGCCAGTGCCAGCTTACCATTGAAGGCAGTCTGGTTTCAAGGCCAGAGGAAGACCACACCGTGGTATATGTACTATGTTAAGGACATACGAAAATTCCACAAACTTAATATCCAGCGGGTCTCACACATTGCGTCAAGCCGTCAATCATGACTCCCCGTGACACCCCACACCACCACCCCACCCCCCGTCAAAAGTAGACAGAGGAAGAAAAGAAAACAATGCCCCTGAGATATTGTAGCCCCACCGAGGGGTTGAGGGCTTCTCAGAGTTTACGCTTTGCCCTAAGTGCTGCCGTTCTTTTCTTTCTTTCACTACCCTGGCCCCATCATAATATCTAGAAATAGACGTGTTTTCTATCATTTGGAAATTAACAAGTACTTTACCATTATTTTGTTGACCCTCATGGTGGCTAGTAGTGACATATTCTTTTCCGACATAGTCCATTTTTTCAAAGCAATCATTTCCACGTTCTCTTCTTTCACCAACTTGTCACACCCACTTGGACTGCAGGTGATGTGGATCATTTCACCAGGTGGGACACGTCTAACTTCAGTTTTTGTTGTGTTTTCTGAATAAGCAACGATACAACTTAAAAATGCATGATTACACTACTGATTTTTAAAAAAAAATTAGTATAGCATTATGTTGTGTTGATGAATGTAAACGGACGTTTGAAAATAATAACATATACTGGTGGAAGTTATTAAATATGACTATGATATTTTATAAAAAGACAGAGGGACACTTTCAGTGAAATATCTAAGAAATACCATAACTCGTCCTTCTCCCCCATAGACAGCGACGAGGCCATGACAGGCAAGTCAGGCTCATACCAGCAAGAAGCCAGTAAAGGAATTGCTCATTCCTGCCCAAGACAATCAGGGACTGGAACAAGCTTTCAAAGGAAACAGTTGAGGCGACAACACTAGACACATTTGCGTCTATTGCCGCAAGCCTTCAAACCCCCTGTGCATGATTCCCTCACAAAGTGGCACTTGCAATCAGTGAAATGTCCTCATCAACACCAGGCACAGAAACATTGCAAATCCCCTCTACGTGCATAGGAGCCAAAACGATCAATAAATTGATCGTGGTCCCTTAATATATAGAAGAAGAAGTTAAAACACGATCCCGGTAGAATTACGATCGCAGTGTGATCCCGATCCCGACCCTGGTTGGACACCAATACCGGTGTAATCCCAGACCCGGTGTGTTCTCATCCTGTCAGTATCTCGTTTCCCGGTGTGATCCCAATTCTGGTTGTATTATAATCCTGGTTTTATCCCGTTTCCCGGTGTGATCCCAATTCTGGTTGTATTATAATCCTGGTGTGATCCCGTTTCCCGATGTGATCCCAATTCTGGTTGTATTATAATCCTGGTGTGATCCCGTTTCCCGGTGTGATCCCAATTCTGGTTGTATTATAATCCTGGTGTGATCCCGTTTCCCGGTGTGATCCCAATTCTGGTTGTATTATAATCCTGGTGTGATCCCGTTTCCCGGTGTGATCCCAGTTCTGGTTGTATTATAATCCTGGTGTGATCCCGTTTCCCGGTGTGATCCCAATTCTGGTTGTATTATAATCCTGGTGTGATCCCGTTTCCCGGTGTGATCCCAATTCTGGTTGTATTATAATCCTGTTGTGATCCCGTTTCCAGGTGGAATCCTGATACCGATGGAACCCAATACCGATGTAATCCAGAAACCTGTGGGTTCCAGTTTCCCGGTGTGATTCAGATCCCGGTAGGTTCCCGTTCCCCGTAACACTCCAGTTTCCTGGTGGTGCCCCGATCCCAGGTGCTCCCGTTTCCGGTTGGGATCCCGTTTCCCTTCGGGATCCTGATCCCAGTGGAAGTTTCCAAAATTTTATTAAAATTACACAATTTTGACTTGATCAAAGTATGAACCTTTCTTCGGTGCAGTGACTGGAAGCAAACTAAACTCCATTATTACCTGCTGGTTTGGGAATTCAATCTCCGATGGAAACAAAAGAAAACAAGACATATTGCTAAAAAAAATAACTTCTCTTTAAGAACTAATTGAAGGAATAAGCATTTGTATTACTACCAAAAAGTTGGCGGATAAATGCCACCCATTTCATCAGAGATACCTAAGTTCAGCTAGATCAATCCCTCAAATTTAGGACCTAAAGATTTAAAAATTTATTTGTTCCTTTATCTATCAGAATTTACCAGCATGCTCCCCTGCCTGGTGAATATCTAAATAATCTTTCTTAAAGTTAATATTATTACAAATGTAATGAAGTTCCAGTTCTAGTTTGAAACTTTCTTTGTAAGAACAGTTATGTATGTGCTAAAAATCAATATGTAAATCGTAATTTAAAAAAAAATATATTTCTTTCCATCAAAAACACAATTTTATCTTATATAATGTTTCATATGTGATAAGTTTTGAGTTAGTGTTCCATAAAATGAATTACAAGAAAAGTGTTGAGTTAAAGTTCCATAGAATGATTTACAAGAAAAGTGTTGAGTTAAAGTTCCATAAAATGAATTACAAGAAAAGTGTTGAGTTAAAGTTCCATAGAATGATTTACAAGAAAAGTGTTGAGATAAGAATGTCTGACAAGAAATGTGTATGGGCTAAGGTGCCAATGACCAAGTACAAAGTAAGGGCGATTAAAGGTATCCATTCATTGTGAATGAAGGATTTGATGTGGTAATGGCTTCCTAGAGTAGGTGCTAGGTGCTAATTGACCGTGTGGCTGAAGAATGTGTCAATATAAAGGTTAGGACCAGTGCGCTATAGCATGTGTGCTTTGAAAGTGTTCTTAGTATGATCGTTACAGTTTTAACAAATGAACAGTGAGCCAAGAGAGCCACTTAATATGCAAATATGGACAGTGAGCCAAGAGAAACACTTAATGTGAACATATGTGCAGTGAGGCAAGAGAGCCACTTAATTTGCATATTTAAACAATAAGCCAAAGGAGCCACTCAATGTGCACACATTGACAGTGAGGCAAGAGAAACACTTAATGGGCACATATGGACAGTGAGCCAAGAGAGCCACTTATTGGGCACATATAAACAGTAAGCCAAGAGAGCCACTTAATAGGCAAATATGGCCTTTGAGCCAAGAGAGCCACTTAATGGGCACATACAAACAGTAAGCCAAGAGAGCCACTTAATGGGCACATATGGACTTTGAGGCCAGAGAGCCACTTAATTGGCAAATATGGACTGTGAGCCAAGAGAGCCACTTAATGGGCACATATAAACAGTAAGCCAAGAGAGCCACTTAATGGGAACATATGGACTTTGAGGCAAGAGAGCCACTTAATTGGCACATATGGACAGTGAGCCAAGTGAGCCACTTAATGGCCACATACGGACAGTGAGGCAAGAGAGCCACTTAATTTGCACATATTGCAAATGGGTAAAGATCATTCTAAAACTGTATCTTTTAAATATATATATATATATATATATATATATATTTTCAATTTAGACGATTTTGAAGACCAATGAATGAGCTTTTATAGTTAGAAGAAGTCCACGCTCAACAAAACCACACACAAAAAACGCACATAATTTACATCAAACATATAGGCAAATATGGCCTTTGAGCCAAGAGAGCCATAGTATTAGAGATGGACCGAATATTCCACCTTCAGACAAACGTGCCGCCTGGGTCGCACCACACCAACTATACTTTTCTATTGTCTGTGCCTTAGTCCAGAGTGCTTAATGGTCTTGACTAATGAATATGAGCACTATATTTATTACAGTCATAAAAATAAAGTTAAATTAAGCACATCTGTCATTATAGTAAAAGATGAAATCCATTTAAATATCCTCATTATTGTTGATTTTTCTGAGAAGAGCCGCCCTTGGGGGCGTCCAATGATTACGTCAACAAAATAGGGGGAAGGGTTTGGAAATGTTGGACATTTGTTGACAAGGGGGAGGGGCTTTTAGATTAGTTGACGTCAACAATCATGTTTTCTCTATTAAAATTTTTATCTTAAGAATTGACTCTATGTTACATTATTTTAAAAAAATTAAGTGTAAATGAGTATAAATAGTCATATAATTTTTAGGCTTTTAACAGGCTTTCTTTGACGAAGACTTACCAAGGGCCAAAGTCGATGAGGAGATCGCGGCAAAGAGGCACCACGCCACAAAGCAAGCAGCTTTGGGCATTTTCGTCCTGCTGTTCTCCTGTTCAGTTGGTGGGCAACAACTTGAATGCACTCCGTCTATTCACAGCTTACTTACTCGTCTGGTGACAAATCTTGGCGCGAGAACTTTTTATAACGGTCTTGCGGTGTCACACGTCATCGCCAATGGCCGCGAAGAAGGAGCTTTCTGATTGGTTGCTGTCCACTGGCGTTTCCAAACGGGGGTCGTATCTGCTACCACGCCAGAACACGGCTGTATTTTTTTTCCTCTACCCCCCTCCCAAAAATAAATAATTTCTATGTTTAAAAGATCACACCGTGGAGATTTGTGTATGCGTGGTATTCTTCTGACTCCATTCTTTTGTTGTTGTTTTTTTTTCTAGCTTTTTTTTTACACCTCAACTACCCCCAACCCCGACCTGGAAGTGACCAGGTCTCACATGAAGCTCTTATGGGGCTGTGAGATTAGATTAACACGTGTAGCCATGTGAGGAGTTCTACAATTAAAAACACCAATGGGACGCTGACATCTCAAATGAATGAGTTGAGCGTGGAGGGAAGTGGTTGGTTGGTTGCGGTAGTTAAGAACAAATGGGAGGGTGGCACGCGCTCCTCCCTCTCCTTTACTCTGTTACCAGGACGAGCTCTTTTTTAATGTTCGCCGCCAGGTTGGGTCTTTAAGGCTGTAATAACTGACCTCGAGTGGATCAGAGTTACCAGACACCGATCTGGTGAAATTCGCGGAATCCCCCCGCCCCACTTTATTGGGGTAATAATGTTTAAAACTTGGAAGATCCTCATATATATTTTTAGCTGTGGCAGGAAAAAAAATTAGGAGGTGAAAGTGCTTTGTTTGGTCATTATTTGCAAGTTTCTCCCATAGCCTCTTTTACATATTTCTTAATATCTCGCCTAATTGCAGCCACATAATATCATTTAAAAAATCAGTATTGTATGTTTAAAAAAAATCCATTTCCACCAAATCAAAGTCCATGAACTTCGTTATAAAAACACATAATTTTTAAAGAAATTTCCCCCCTTTATCTTTATTTTTAAAAAATATATTTAAAAAAAAAAAAGTAAAATTTTGCCATTTAGGAAGACATTAAAAGAACTGTTAAATTATTATTATTATTTTAAATCTTTTGATAAATACCATCAACACGCAATATTTTATTTATCAGAATTATTAGGAAAGACTGTACTTAGACCCCACCGTGTGTTAGGCAAAATTGACAAACAATATTGCAACCACTGTCAGTCTATAAAATTTTGAGATCCGCTGGATTACAGGCTCTTATTCATATACTCACGTGGTTAAACGTATATTAGTGGTCTGAACAAGAGTATCACCGGGTGCAATCATAAATGAGCACAGCGTTGTCACAGTCTAAAAATACCAGGAACTCCCCACACACACTCGTAAACACGCAAGAACATTCACACGCACATATACATACACACATACAGAGCAAGCTCATGGTGGGTATGATGGTGGGAGATTTGTTGAAATCAGAAAGAAAAAAAAATAATTCTGAACGCTTCACATAATTTTCCAGAGGGCGACAATTGTCTATTTTCACCCAACCTAAAAATGTCTAGCGCTGGCCCTGCACACATACACTCAGATACATGCCCGCGCAAGCACACACGTACACACAGGCGCACTCGAACACGTGTACCATTACGTGAACAAATATTGTGCATATTACTTCCGGCAACAACACAAAAGATCTATCAAATTGTGGTTTTTTACTGTGCATATTACTTCCGGCAACAACACAAAAGACCTATCAAATTGTGGTTTTTTACTGTGCTCTGTTACTTGTCTTATTTCTATTTGTCTTGTTTGCCGAAGGAGGCTCTACGCCGAAACGTCCACATCTTATGATCCTGTCATTTCAAGCTTAGCATACCTTGTTCCACTATTTCATTCAGAAAATGTGCTCATGGCATTTGGCAGTGAAAAAAAAATGTGGAAAAGGCTGGGGTGGGGGGGGGGGAGGGGGATCGTCATAGCAGCATTCAAAATTTGATGAGTGTCAGCATACACACACCCTTCAGCATAGCTCTGCTTTCGGCATTAAACTTTGGACTCCAACGGCCCAGGGGTGTTAATGTCTCATCAATATCTATTTAATTTGTTTTTGTGTGTGCGTCCCTCTGTCTGCATGTTTTGGTTTGCAACAAAAACATAGGCTAATAGTGTGTTCGGTTTTTACACAAACAGGGCTTGAAAATGTGTTTGGTGTGTACACAAATATAGCCTGATAATGTGTTTAGTTTGTACACACACATACCCTTAACCTGCATTTGGCTTGTACACGAACATATCCTGATAATGTGTTTGGTTTGTACACAAACATTCTGATACTGTGTTTGGTTTTTACACAAACTTATCCTGATAATGTGTTTGGTTTGTACACAAACATATCCAGATAATGTGCTTTGTTTGTACATAAAAATATAATATGTGTTTGGTTTGTACACAAACATATCCTGATAATGTGTTTGGTTTGTACACAAACATATCCAGATAATATATTTGGTTTGTACACAAACATCCTGAAAATGCATTTGATTTGTACACAAACATATCCTGATAAAGTGTTTAGTTTGTACACAAACCTCTCCTGATCCTGTGTTTGGTTTGCTTAAGAAATGGCCTGGTCTTTTGCTTCGTTTTTGTACACACGCGCAGATTGATATGTGCAATTATCTCTGGTTTACACTCCGGTTTAGGATCATATATGTGTGTATGTATATTTACATATATACGATAGCTTGTACACTAGCCATAATTGTAACGAGATGCATATAATTTAGCACACTGTCCCTACTTGCTGCGAAATGTTTATAATGTAGCATACTATCACATCCTTGTAACAAGATGCTTATAATGTAGCACACGGCCCCATCCTTTTAGCGAGATGCTTGTAATTTTTCGTAAAACGCTTTGAGTGTGACTTATTATGTGGATGGATAATCCACTGGGTGTAGCGTATTGTAAAGAAAGACTATCCACTGATTGAGGTGTATTTTATGGATTGGTTTTTCGGCTTATGCTTTATTTTAAAGACTATCCACTAATTGCAGTGTATCGTTGGGTATCATATTGATGGGCTATCAATTGAGGGTAAATTGTTATGGGGATGGACTATTAACTTAATATAAGGATTAATACGGGATGAGATATCCACTGAGTGGGTGTACTATGTGGATGGGCTATCCACTGAGTGGGTCTACTATGTGGATGGGCTATCCACTGAGTAAGTATATTATAACTCGATCATTAAAGGCGACTAAGAATGAAGCATTTTAAAACTATACATCTCTTAAAACTATAACATGGTCCTTAATAAGATAATGATATAGATTAGAGAACAAGACATGAGATAAGGATATAGTGAGAAAGAGAGAGAGAGAGAGCAAAAAAGATTATACGAATTTAGTAAGAATAACAGAGAGGGAGAGAGAGAGAGGGCAAGAAATGGGAAATTATACAGTTAGAAAGATAGAGAGTGTCTGAGCGTGTGGGGGAGGGAGATGTAAGAGGAAGAGAGTGAAACAGAAAAATGAAGAGGGAGAATGTTCGGCGATAATTACCGACAGCTAGTTAATGATGTAATTTTAAAGTTTTTTTTTTTAAAAAGTGCTTGGAAAAAGTTATTTTCCAAACACTATCTGTCATTAAGTTGACGTGCAACTATATCACGGGCTCTTTATCAGTATTGTCTGCACCCCCGGTAGGCATCTCAGAGGATGCGGGAGGTAAGGTCATCCACTACTGGAGGCAGTGTTAGGGGATGCGGTTAGAAGTAGCATTGCCAGAGAATATGGGAGGTAGAGTCAAGGGATGCTGGAGGCAGTGTCATGAGATGTGGGAGGCTGTGTCAATGGATGCTGGAGGCGGTGTCATGAGATGTGGGAGGCTGTGTCTATGGATGTTGGAGGCAGTGTCATGAGATGTAGGAGGCCGTGTCAATGGAGAATGGTGGCAGTGTCAGGAGATGTGGAATGCTGCGTCAATGGATGCTGGAGGAAGTGTCATGAGTTGTGATAGGCTTCGTCAATGGATGCTGGAGGCAGTGTCATGAGATGTGGAAGGGTGTGTCTATGGATGTTGGAGGCAGTTTGTTGAGATGTGTGAGGCTGTGTCTTTGGATGTTAAAGGCAGTGTCATGAGATGTGGTAGGCTGTGTCAATGTGTGCTGGAGGCAGTGTCATGAGATGAGATAGGCTGTGTCAATGGATGCTGGAGGCGGTGTCATGAGATGTAAGAGGCTGTGTCTATGGATGTTGGAGGCAGTGTCATGATATTTGGGAAGCTACGAAAATGAAGGCTGGAGGCAGTGTCATGAGATGTGGAATGCTGCGTCAATGGAAGCTGGAGGCTGTGTCATGAGATGTGAAGGCTGTGTCAATGAACACTGGAGGCAGTGTAATGAGATGTGATAGGCTGTGTCAATGGATGTTGGAGGCAGTTTCATGTGATTTGGGAGGCCGTGTCAATGGATGCTGGAGGCAGTGTCATGAGATGTGGGAAGCTGCGAAAATGGATTCTGGATGCAGTGTCATGAGATGTGGGAGGCTGTGTCAATGGAGGCTGGAGGTAGTGTCATGAGATGTGAAATGCTGCACCAATGGATGGTTGAGGAAAATTCATTAGATGTGATAGGCTTCGTCAATGGATGCTGGAGGCAGTGTCATGAGATGTGATAGGCTGTGCCAATCGATGCTGGAGGCAGTGTCATGAGATGTGGGAGGCTGTGTCTATGAATGTTGGAGGCAATGTCATGAGCTGTGTGAGGCTGTGTCTATGGATGTTGGAGGCAGTGTCATGAGATGTGGGAGGCTGTGTCAATGGATGTTGAAGGCGGTGTCATGAGATGTGTGAGGCTGTGTCTATAGATGTTGGAGGCAGTGTCATGAGATGTGGGGGGATGCGTCAATGGATGCTGTAGGCAGTGTCATGAGATGTGATAGGCTGTGTCAATGGATGCTTGAGGCAGTGTCATGATATTTGGGAGGCTGCGAAAATGAAGGCCGAAGGCAGTGTCATGAGATGTGATAGGCTGTGCCAATGGATGCTGGAGGCAGTGTCATGAGATGTGGGAGGCTGTGTCTATGAATGTTGGAGGCAATGTCATGAGCTGTGTGAGGCTGTGTCTATGGATGTTGGAGGCAGTGTCATGAGATGTGGGAGGCTGTGTCAATGGATGTTGAAGGCGGTGTCATGAGATGTGTGAGGCTGTGTCTATAGATGTTGGAGGCAGTGTCATGAGATGTGGGGGGATGCGTCAATGGATGCTGTAGGCAGTGTCATGAGATGTGATAGGCTGTATCAATGGATGCTTGAGGCAGTGTCATGATATTTGGGAGGCTGCGAAAATGAAGGCTGGAGGCAGTGTCATAAGATGTGGAATGCTGCATCAATGGAAGCTATAGGCTGTGTCATGAGATGTGAAGGCTGTGTCAATGAATACTGGAGGCAGTGTC